ATATTGCACACCTGGCTTCCGGTATCGATCTCGTTGATGACTGACCCACGAACTGTGTCATGGAATATTATCCTTCGATCAGCAGTTCCACCACCTGAGGCCAGGAGACCTCGCTGGTGAGGGGACCATGCTATCGCTTTAACAGCAGCGGTGTGATCAGAGAATTTCCACAAAGGTGTCTCAGAGAGCTTATCCCAAACCATGAGTTTGTTATCATTCCCGCCACTTGCCAATTGGCCATCTTCACAGTTCCATTTCAAGCCGCAAACCTCCTGCTTATGTCCCATAAGCTTTCGCATCCATTGGTCGGGGGCCCTGACATCGCGGTGATATATCAATCGATCTCGAGATCCTGATGTGAGGATGTGGGTGTTCCAGGCCAAGGATCCTACGCGTGCGGTATGCCCTGTCATCGTTCTTAGACGCCTCGTCTTCTCAGCGTCCCAGATCTGAACCAAACCCTTCCCAGTACCGATGGCTATGTGTGTGCCTTTCTGAATCCATGATACGCTCGTTACTGTGTCATCTTCAAGTGTGCAAAGTTTATTGACTCGACTTGTTTGGGCGTTCCACATGTAGACACTCGAGCCGAGACCAACGCCCAAGACATTAGCACTACCCCAATCAACCAAGTTCAAATAGAAGTCGTCGGCTAACTCGGGAGCATCTAGTACCTTGTAGGGTACTTTACTAACTGCTCGAGGTTGGCGTCTCGGGCTTAATAGCATTTGTTGGCTTCCGAAGCGAACCGGAGACAAGCTATATATCTCTGATCGTATATCCAGATTGGGACCATGTCGGCTCTGTGGTGTTCGGGACGGCGTCGGCTGGCCAGCGACGTTGGAATGATGGCGGGGAGACATATAAGAGAAGAGATTCTTGTGAGGTGTTGATGGCGTGAAGCTTGAGGGTAGAGATGGAGGAGGGTTGTTGGGCGGAGTGTGGGATCTTGTACCATTATGGGTATGTGTAGAGTGTGCTGAACCTGGTAAGTTAGCATCCGGAGACATCGTTTGCGGCGTGGCCTGCGGTATGGTGTTCTCAAAAAGTTCCGCTCTTAATACTCGAGAGAATCTATCGTTCGCCTCCTCAGCTAGGTATAATTAGCACTAGGTCATTACGTAGAAGAAAGTTGAAGTCAGCTTACTTCGGTGAAAGTCAATCTCCCCGTGTGGTGTTCGCTTCTTCTGCCGAGAGGGTGTAGCTGGCGACCCTTCTTCGTGCATGAGACTGAAGGCGGATATTATATCTTGGCCAACGCGCGCGGGTATAAATCTAAGAAATTTCTTAGTATGCATGGCCGAAGAAGAAGAAAAACAAATCTTATAAAGGGAAGGAATAATCATGGTAGAATCCAAGACGACGAGTCACGACCCAGGAAAAGACATCCAATCACTAGAATGGGTAAAAATGCGCTTTCACTAACCTGTCGCCATTGATACGCTGTCGCTTCCTACTAGGACTAGCAAGAGAAGCGCTATCTCTTCTGTCGGCAGAAAGTTCCCTCGAAAGAGCCCGCGTCAAACCATCCGGATCGATGCCGCCTATACTCGTCCTCTCACCTCTCCGTCCGCCATGACGTATATTTCTCGAGTTACCACCTTCAACATTATTCATCACCTGTAGCGTCTCTCGGTTAGAGGGTGGGGGAGGAGTGCCTATCCTCGAAGGTATGCGCACGGCGGGGCTTGTTGTATCGTGCGCTTGTCGCTTTAATAGCGGCGGTGCCGCCGATACTGAATCAGACTCTATAGTCATCTTCTCTCATGCAGATGGAGTTTAGGTAGTGGTCGCAGAAGCTGGGTAAGTTGTTAAGGTGGAGGGGGTGCGGTAGGTGGAATAATCGAGGCGAAAGGCGCGGGTCAGTTTTGTTATGAGTTGAAGCCGAAGGTATCAGTTAGTTGGTAAAAGCCAGGCCTGATGAGAAACTTTGTCGAAGGATAGATGTTATCAGCAAATATGTCCCGAGGCCCCCAGGGGTATGCAACTCCTTCTAGCGCATGCTCTTCTGTTGTCGACGATATGGACCAGAATTAATGTCCGAGATGGTTTGCAAGGGAGAATAGGCCTATTATTCGATCGCTTCCTGCTACTGTTCGTATGTCGGAAAGAATTGAAAAAATAGATTAAAAGAGCGAAATGAATAGAATATGGTGAAAAAGGAGTTTGCTATTGGGAGGAATTACGGCAGGTAAGCTAAATTCGTGAACGACTGCAGCGGGCAATAGCAAAGTTTGGGAAAGAGGCGGCGGAGTGGTTTCGTGGATTTGGATGGAGGTTGAATGGTAACAACGGGCTGAATGGACCGTGCTAGGGAAGGAAGACCTGGCTGTTCTTGCTCCTGCTATGATTTTGGCGTGCCTGCATGTCGCGCCTTACAACGACACAGGGGGTTTACCAGTGTGCTAAACTTAATCCCCCACTATCTGATGATATGAGATACTTCCACATAAGCATGAAAAAGGCGTATGCTACCAAGTACCGATTAACTTTTTAACCGACATTAAAAGGCCGCGGACTGTGTTCAATACCACCTAATCAAGGTACGCTAAAAACCGATATGATATGCCCCTCTGACTTTCTTCTATCAACACCGATCATGACTTGCAGTGCACAATGACAAAAGCGTACAACATTGAATTGAAGGCATCAGTTAAAAAAAACCAAAATCATAAATGAATCACTCTTCTTAAACAGAAATAGATAGGTATTGTGAGTATCTATCTAAGTCTTGAAAATGATTCACTGCACATACGAAATCTTCCACGCTACAGACAAAGGTCAGGTTCCTGCTAGTGGCTGGGAAACGCGTATGTAAACAGTATTCACATAGTTTCATTTCCCTTCTTTGTTCACGGTTGTCAAAATGGAACTGCAGGTATATAAACAAAGCAAAAAAAAGTATAATTGCGGGGGCTGGCTAGGTAGGTAGCTGCAAGCACCAAAGCAACATTGAACCAAAGCGGACAGTTAGTTTGAACAAGACAACAACATGAGGTCTCTAACAGGTCTCTTTACCCTGTAAGTAATTCAACACGTCAAGAATTAGGACCCATTGTGCGGCCGGATTCGCGATGCAAGATTGACGAGACGCGCCTGTTCTCCCTTTTTTCCCTTTTCATAACAGAAAAAGTAAAAGGAAAGCGGAGCTGCCCCTCGCCATTAAAAGGAGGTTATGTACTTCTTTGTAAGTGGCGCGATTGGGGTTGTTTATTATTTTGGCTTACATACGTAACCTACCAGCAACATTTCGCAGGGGGTACGCGCATCGAATTTTCCGACTGGATGTACGCGCTTTCCCACCCAGGGGTCATTGTTTAGACTGCCCAGGTGGCCCCCGGATTTCCAACTGATAGGGTAGGTACATGTAGCTATGCGGGATTCCCACTACCGGTATTTGTGTACCATAGATGTATCTAGCAAGCTAACACAACATGTTGGCGGTACATAAACAATACATGTAAGCAGGATCTGCCAGCAGCGCGTCAAGGCTTCCTTATCCGTCATCCCCAAGAAAAATACCAAAACATTCCTCAACCAGTAATATCCATGATCGGAACAAAATAGCTTGGCCTAGTTGACCCAGTTCTGCCAATTTAGCGCCCTTCAGACATCACCAGTATTTTTATTCGTTAGGTACTATTCGAAGTATTCTTCTACCTTGTAACAGCTCCCCATATGCTTGACCTGCTTTAACATACATACACTAGAATGTTCTTGATAAAAACTTATACAGCCCTCATCTAACAAACACAATTATCTATAAAACATTAGTTAGAATACCATGCAATCAATAAGGCTCAAAATGAACCATCACCACCACCTTCAACATACAACGTCAGCAGTCACATATAATCAGTTTCATTCTATTAGCATATTAACGCCTATTAAAGACAACCCGGTAAGCCCTTGGACCTTCGACTAGGCATTAAACTTGCAAGGCCAATACCTATTACGCAGGCCGCTCGGCCAGCCAAGAGCAGTATTACACTCGAGTGTTTTCAAACACTCTTTTTTAAGTCAGCTTCATATGATGCTACGGCGAGCTCGTAACATATATCACTTCTTACGGTTAGGTAGTTATGTGCTCGGCCCCTATTTTCATTGGGTACCTAATATATGAAGAGGCAGAGGCAACACTCGAAACAATGGTGGCTCTATATACATCCTCTATCCTAAGATCTAACTCTATTAAGATTCAACTAACCGTGTACAACAGTCTCAAAGCTGCTATTTTCAAGACCACTTTCGGCCAAGTTTAATAACGCCATCCTCATTATTCCGTGATATTATCATGAACTCTAGGATGTTACTGTGAAAGGTGTTTTGTGATACCTAGAATCTATAAGATGCGCCATAAGTTGCGAAGAAACCCATTTAGGACGATTAAGGAGCTTGATGGGAAAACCTATCCGCCGCAAACATGATGCCTCATTTTTTTATACTTGCCATTAGTTCCTAACTTGGCGAGACAACTAAGTGTCCGACGTAACAGCCGGCCTCCTAGTATGAACAAGAGCATATAGCTACGACAAACTAAGAGCTTTTTCTTCGTAGTGTAACCCGTCAATGCGCAAGAGGCAAGCCCGCTCTATTCTCTGAGGTTCTAAGAGATGTGCCTTTGGATGCGTGAGACGATTCTACTCAATCTTCCACTCGCCCCTTTCTTCATTTTCCCCTATTCATACTATTCATACTATTCTTCCATATTCCAACGTCGTACGCTCAAGCACTCGAGTATCATATCCTTATATATCAACCTCCGAGATATCAGAGTGAATAATAGGAGAGGCAGACCCGTTCCAAACGTCAGCCATTGCCAGTTACCTATAATTTACTACCTATGACGCAAGTACGCTCTAGATTATCATTGCCAACACACCCATACTTTATTTGCTTTCTACGAGACCGATATGACACAGCCGCCGAGACGTGGTGATTCGCCCTGCAGACGGGACATGATATCGTTTACAGGGGTCGATAATGAGAGCCGCGTCGCAATGAGTGTGCGGTCCTTCGCGGCCTTCAAAAATTGCGAAGATGAAGGTGAAGACGAGTGTAGCCTTGTAGATCTCCTCGAGAAACGATCAAGCTTAGGAGCTTCTGTCGTTGATGCTGTTTCATCACCAACGACGTTCAGAAGAATATGGGAAGAAACAAAAGTCGTTTACCCAGACCGCCAACCCAGCCGTAGGGGGCGTCCGGATAGGTAAGCTGCCGATCATGCACTTCGTTAACTTGGGAATTGATTATTGTACAGTATTCGGAGCAACCCCGGACGTGGCCGAACAGGGCTCGTTTCCTCCACCTCCCCTAGAGAACCGCCTTCCACCGAGACTCGTTCGGCCTCAAGTGCTACTAGGAGTCGTGAGTATATTCCAGGTCCTTCGCCAACTATATCCGTCTTACGGTATCAAATGAATGCCCTTAACCCTTCCCTGAGATGTAGCATAACTATTAATTCCCTGTGCTTTGGAAGAGCATTCAAAGGATGATGGAAACTGACCCGAAATGTTCGTAGTCTCGTCTCGGTCTACAAAGTCGAAGGAAAACTCACCATCTACGTCCCCCTTCCCTGGAGATGCCATAGCTCTTCCCGGTCTCCAGAGCAAGGGGCCGAGAGAGCATGACGAACTTATGCCTTTAACTGGAGATGAAATCAACCAAGCTTCGTTTGATCTTGTATCTCCATGCAACAACGCACCTCCTCGGTATTCTCTGGAAATAATATCGGAAGCTCTCTTTTCGGCAGAGCATCTAGACGCTATCTTGAACGATCAGCTCCTACTTGAAAGGTTTACATCCTTCCTTTGCGTCTCTAGGCCGAAATCTATCCCTCTTCTGGTATATTATCTAGACGCTCTAAAAGCACTGAAGGCTATAGGATATTCAAACTCCATTGTTCGATCCTTGGTCTCTGTCAAGGGAGCAGGCCTTAGTGAAGAGGTAATCTCAAATACTATCAACGAATCCTTATTAGCAAGGCTTAGCAAGGTGCTTCAAACTCTGGCTAGAGAGGACCTACCTGCCTACATCACCCATACTTGGATCCAGACGGTGGCTGTCACTATCAAGCAGCGGATCACAAATACGTTGCCTGACCATCTCAAAGATCTCTCTGAGGGATTAGCGGATGTCTTCTGCTTGATAGATCCATCGAGACATGACAATCCGATTGTATTTGCTAGCAAAGGTGAGTTCAACCACGGAGTAAAGAAACAATCGTTTGGCTAAATAATATCAGAGTTCCATCAAATGACGCAGGTGAGTGGGAGATATTTGAAATTAATGTTCATCCCTTGCCAATATGTCATACCAGGCAATTATCATACATCATATTATGAATGCCGTTCAGACTACGTAGATAGTAACTAATAACACCGATTACCATAGTATGGAGCCAGCTATGTCCTAGGTCGAAATTGTCGTTTCCTTCAGGGGCCCGGCACGAGCCAATCGAGCGCGAGAAGAATAAAAGAGCACCTAGATGCCGGAAAGGAGCACTGCGAAGTCCTACTGAACTACCGCCGGGACGGATCCCCATTTATGAACCTTGTCATGGCCGCACCTCTTCTAGACAGCTGTGGAATCATCCGGTACCATATCAGCGCCCAGGTAGATGTTTCGGGTCTGGCGAAGGAATGTGTAGGCCTTGAGTCTCTCAGGCGCATTGTTGACCAGAGACGGAACGGCAAGGATGCCAGTACTCATATGAGTGCCAAAGATGAGTTCCGTGAGCTCGCAGAAATGTTCACCTCCTCGGAGTTGAAGACGGTCCAGGAAGTAGGCGGTAGTATGCACCGTCGCCACCGGGAAGACACGGCAGGCGCCGAGACAGGTTCGAGACACCATGGCCCGACTCGCATAGACTCCGATCCCTTGCCTCGAATATCGACCGCGTCAGTTAATCGCGTTACAAGCCTCTTCGAACACTACCTCCTAGTACGCCCACACCCACACCTACGGGTCCTCTTCGCCTCCCCGTCCCTCCGTTTCCCCGGCATGCTACAAAGCAGCTTCATATCCCGGATCGGGGGCCCCCCTGCCGTCCGAGAAGCAGTCGCCCAAGCATTCGCCGACGGCCGCGGAATCACCACGAAGGTCCGCTGGGTGACCCGAATGGACAGCTACGGGAAGGGCAAGTGGATACACTGCACGCCGCTGCTGGGATCAAACGGGGCTGTGGGCGTGTGGATGGTGGTGCTTGTTAATGACGACGCGGAGGTCGATTTGCGACGTTCTCGGGACGCGCCGCTCGTAGACGTGAAAATCGACGGGCGGAGACCTTTCGATGGGGAGGATATAAGTTCTGGTAACGGTAACGCGAATGGAGGTCTTAATGGGTGTCGTCCCTCGTCGGCTTTGGGACACACTTCAGGAGACGTGGAGATTGAAGCTTGCACGTCGGGATCTAGTGACCCAGCACACAAGAAAGCAGGATCTACTACGATGTAACCGGCCTATCTAACATGCTGGTAACACGGGAGGAGCCGGTAGTCATTCTCCTAATATTCACTTTCTAGTCACACTGTTAAATCGATAGATTTCGTGTCTAGATACCTAAGATATAGGTAGTCTCGAAATTTATATTATTATTTAATACACACATACACCCTGTTTAATAAAAATAGTAGCCTCTCTCCTTGCAGGCCCGGACCTTTGTCGCGCTCAATGTCGTATATTATTATAAAGTTCAATCTGTCTACGTATAATACATTGGCATGATTCGGTTCTTATATCTCACTAGTATCAATCTTAGATCTTTATGTTAGAGCCGAAGGAGGTATACAGGACTCAATGTTCTAGAATCAAGATACTCCAATGTTACTCTAGCCTATAATCTATTGAGATCTAGTCCGCTCTTAAGCTTGCTGAGAATATTAGACTATGGACTGAGACAACGGCGAGGTTGGCCCGAAAGGGATACCTACGAAGTCTCAATATGAGTAAACCATAGTCCACCAACAGGTTTCGTACCCAAGACGGCGAGCATTCCCATTGTGTATATTAACGAAGCACCATCACCGTCGGGTACTGTGCTTTTCATTCGAGTCTTTATGTCTATCCCGAGGCCATAAGAACCGGTCAAAACCGCCCAATTGATATCAACGCCACCAAGTTCTTGAGTTGTAATCAATACGCATCCACCGCAATGCCGAAAAAAATGACAAAATAAAGTCTGAGCTAACAAGGCCAACCCAGCCGCATATTACAGACGTCAGTTTCCGAATCATGCTCGAAAAATAAAATATGCTTGCTTCCTGGCTTCGTTACGAACGCGTGTCCCTGCGTTTCAAGTCATTTCTATGCCGACTCTGCCTGGGCTAATAGACGGGCCCTCCAGCCGTTACATACTTCCTCGAAGCCTCCAACGACTTCCCTGCATACGCCGGCGCACTCGCGCTTTTGTAGCCTCTCGCCCCAGTTACCTTTCGTCAACCACCTCTCCCCTTCCTCTCTCAGCTCTTCTTCGCGTTTTATCTCCGCTACCATTTCCTTGGCCATTCTTAACCGTCTTGTAGCGGTGGTTGTGGTTTGTCGTGACATGTGCAGTGTGTCGGAAAGGTAATTCAGCGTTTGCACGAGGTCAGATGTTACGGAATGCAAAGCGCTTAGAGAGTTAAGAGCCGAGGTCGCGGGCCGCGGCATTTCGTCCGAGACGGAAGTTAGTAGCGGTAGAAGGGAATCGATAGTATCGGGATCCGGGGGCTGAACTAGCGGCGATAATAGAGGGAAGGTGAGGTTATGGATCTGCCGCGTCTGATGCGCCAGATGTGTTGCCAAGGCCGAGTGAGCCGTTATTAATCTACAGTTCAACATTTTAGTTAGAGAATATTCAAAAGGGTCAGTGGAACTAGGAATCATCGCTCACCTCGTGGTGCTACCCTCTACGCCAGACTGTGACCCGAGGTCTCTCAGTCCGTCTGTTAATCGTTGAAATACGGCGTCACTAGAACTACCATTGCTTTCAGTCCCTCTTCGGGCTAGAGATTCCACAGCATCGATCCTGGCAACCAGACTCGGCGGCATACCAGGCGACTCTAAATCGGATTCCGAACCATATTCACTCCCGTCGTATGCGCTTCCAGTCCGTCGGTGGCCGCGCCCAGGGGGAGAAGGTATGCCTAGGCTTGCGTTCCTAGTCTTCTCTCGGTGATCCGGTTGGCTTTCTACGTCAACACCACTATCCCTAATCCCATCAGTCGGCGCTTGGCCTTGGTCCCCCTCATCAAATCCGAATTGCGAATGCTCTTCCCCGTCCTCGTAATATTCCTCCTCGCCGGATCCAGACAAAGCATCAGCCAACTCATCCGCCAAATTTCCAAGACCATTATCCTGACCCATACCACCACTGCTGAGATCATTAAGCTCAGACTCGTTCATACTGTTGCGTAGGGGTGTTAAAGGGTCTTGAAAGGAGGATTTCGACTGGCGTCGGCTGCGAGGCGACATATTGGGACTCGAGCTTTGAAAAGAGGTATCGATGGCGGAAGTTTGCCGGGAATGGCTAGGAGTGTGCGGTGATCTCGACATAATTATGACACCCGATACGAAATGCTAGATCCCGCAGCGTATTATATAGAAGGATTTCAAGGAAGTAATAACTTCGTTGTGCGTATAGTCGAGCAGACCATGGGGTAGAAACAATGTCTTAGTCCGAGTTGTCATACAAAGGAACTGAGATGTCAAGAACAGGGCTATCGTTTGTATTGTCTTCTTGTTTTCCTCCGAGAATCCGCGTCGCAGAGTATGTATTGCCGTCCAAGAAACTTTTTCGATATTGGGTTGGTGATTCGGATAGGTACGCACGAAAAGTGTTTGAAAAGGATTCAAGGATCCAGTACACCCAATAATAAACGACCAATATTGAACGAGGTAGCAAGGGTTGGCACTACCCGGACTGCTGTGTAATAATCAGATGTAAAAATAGGAACCACATTTACATGTACCTACTGACTTTATGCCAGCGTTGCATGTGTATTCCGGCGACAGGCACCTGCCGATTCCCGCGTGCGTAAAATGTAAAACGACCTATGTAGTAGTCGGAGATACATGGATACAAGATATTAAGCATTAACCGTTAGGTAGGTGCGTGCCTAGCGAAAACCATGTGTTCGCAAACCCGTCCAACTTTTAGCGGCTCTTTCAACTGGGATATGTTAGGTTAGGTACCTACCTTACCTACTTTTCGAGAGACGCTTAAAGAGCCCGCCGCTAGCCCCACTACCGTTTTCATTTGTATCCCATGTTTTGGAGGGGCAATGCGCGGTCTATTCAGTTATTATTTCATACCTGATTATTGCGCTTTATCTGAAGCCGCGTTTGCTATCCCAACAGAACTTATATCGGTTTACTATTTGCTTATATATCCCGTCCAACCTCTACAATAAATAAGTAACTAAAGGAAAAAGATCTACAATCCTTGGTATACTTGTAATCTTATTCCTATTAGGCCCCTTTTCTATTACTCGCTTACCTCCGCCTGGGCTTTTATGCAACCGATGCCAGCAAATTAGACATATGCCCAAGCGTCTCCGATACAGAAACTTTTCTTTTACTGTTCGATAGCCAAGTGGGAATTAATAATTATCCTGCAGTCATGGCCTCTTTTCGACGTTTCCGCCCCGATGACTTAGACAAGTTTTCCAAATGCAATCTTGACCCGTTGACCGAGACGTACGATCTAAGTTTCTATCTCCAATACTTTGCCAAATGGCCTTCACTATTCCAAGTCGCTGAGGATCCCAGCGGAAACATCATCGGTTACAGTAGGTCGCTATCTTTTTCTGTTTGAATGTTCATAGCAACCCAGCCTAACGAGGTTACGCATTACTCTACAGTCATGGGCAAGTTGGAAAGCTCTCCAGACTACTTCCAGTATTCTGAGCATTACCTACCATGGCACGCACATATCACTGCCCTCACGGTAGCCCCTGAAGCCCGCCGTCTTGGCATTGGAAAAATTCTCACCGAAAATCTCGAAGTTGCTGCAGAAGCTGGAGACTCTTGGTTCGTCGATTTGTTCGTGAGGAAAAGCAACACGAGAGCTATCAACTTTTACGAGAGTATGGGTTATAGTGTATATCGTGTAGTCAAGGACTACTATGGTGATAACGTCAACGACCCCACCGCTAACGGTGAAGACGCCTACGACATGCGTAAGCCCATGTCCCGAGATAAGACACTAAAACACATCCGAGAGGACGGGAGGAATCACGATGTTCAGCCTGAGGATGTCTTCTAATGGAGTTATTTATGCTTGCGGGCTACATCGCGCCGTCGATAGAATATACACTCCCGCTCACATACTTGGAGTCGGGACCCAAAAGGAAAGCAATGACGTGGCCGCATTCCTCCGCCGTTCCCTGTCTGCCGAGAGCTGCCGTATCATCAAAGGGTGCATCAGATGGTCGATTATGGATTTTCCAGCTCTTCTCCATCAGCGGAGTAAATATGGCTCCCGGGGCCACCGCGTTGACACGCACTTGCCGGACCCCATTTTCTTTGGCAGCAGCTTTTGTCAGACCTATGACACCATGCTTGCTGGCATCATACGCTCCATGTTTGGCAAACCCTAGATTATCAATCAGCTCTATCGTTCTTTAGACGCGAGACTCAGCCATTGACTACCTTGAAGCCCGTGAATAGAGGAAACATTCACAATAGAGCCACCGTCAACGATTTTTCGGAGCTCAGCTCTTAAGCAATACATAGTCCCCGTGAGGTTAACTGCGATTATCTTGTGCCATTCGTCGTCGTCGAGATCAGCAACCTCTCGTATGCCATGATGTCTGCCGATTATACCCGCGACGTTAGCAGCGCCATCGAGTCTGCCGTATTTCTGGACGATGCCGTCGATCCAAGATTCAACCTCGTCCCGCTTAGAAACATCTACCTTGGTAACAGTGAAGGGTGCATTTTGGTTGGTAAAGTATTCTTCCGCGTTGCTTATGGCTGCCGGGTCAACATCGGCTATGCAAACAATCCCACCGCGTTTAGATATTATCTGTGCCGTTGCAAACCCGATTCCGCTAGCACCACCAGTAATTGCGAATACTTTTCCATCAAGGGTTGCCATTGTTGCTCTTGACTACTCTCTACTTCGTAGTAAATATTATAAAACAGCAATGTAGTGCTAGCGGGGTAATATTGTCTAGATAATGGCTATATAAATTTTAGGAGTGTTAAATATGCGGCTTTGCGGGCTAGTAGACACCGAGATTTGAAGGTTTAAAAAGGGCCTTGCGGACAACTCCATCTTTCGGTTTAACAACACGAGGAGTTGGGCAAGCTATAACATAGAGGTTACCTATGGGAACGGGGATAGGTTTTCGGCGTTAAAAGCCATATGTTTTACCCCTCTACCATGTAGTGCGTTTATCAAATCATTACTTATAGGTTATTTGCCTACTTTAGTGGCTTAACATATATCGTTAGGTTGCGGGAGTGTGGATATACTGCTTGATTCCGAATGGCCTCAATGCGGGAAGAATCGGTTTATAGTAGACTAAACCGGAGAAGCTGGGTTAGTTCTCTTAGGAGGACAGTTCATTGGTGCGCCTTTTCGACGCTTTATAGCAACACAATGTAGCTTATTAGATACCTGTTTAATCGATTATACTTAATGGCTCGAATATATATGATAGTCTATTGCTTGACCTCTAAGTAAATATTATTAAAAAAAAGATAAGTATAACTTTTAAGCCTTGACGGACTCTTAAAGCCTAACGTTGTTAGAATAATCCTTCCCCGATTATTCACTCGAAACCCAATCTACTTCTTACATTATATATCGTTAGGTGTGTCTTAGTAACTCGTCGAAATAAATTGTTAAACAAAGCTATATAATATGCAGTATCAGTCTTCCACCTACGTAAATATTTACGACACGATGTAAATAAATTAGTACCACTGTAAGATTGTCAGAGACGAGGAGTAAATAGCACGACTATGGGGTATTATAGGTATTAGTTTAGGAGGGGTTGAAGTACAGGAGGGGTTCCGTCTCGTCTGTTTTCGATTCAGCTCCCCAGCCTCGGCACCCTCAATTCAGTAGCTACCTCACTAGAAGGGACCTTGCAGCTAGTGGTCTATTCTCTAGCTTGATAGGGTGCATGAGGCAAAATACTATGTATCTAAGACACATGGCAGGAGAAGCTGTTGTCGCATGACCCCTGATGCCAGATGATACACTACCTATTAGGTACCTCCTCAGCTTCGAAACTATGAATATTGTGGGGAAATGTCGTCACTCCTTTCTGTCAATGGCTTATTCGGGTTTCCGTTCGTTCATCCTTCCTGCCTTCGCTGCCTTCGAAACCTGGGGGAGGTGGATCCTGTTTACCTGTAAGGAGGTAGGTACATGTACTTATTGTGTTCAGCCTGCATTCATTATTGAAACTCTTCTCTCTTCCCTCCTCCAACTTCCGAATGGAGGCTCGGTGTTCTCTAGATCTATATTCTCTTGAATCCCACACTTCACTGTTGATTAATCGTCAATTTTGCGCCCAACTCTAGATATCTCAGATAGCACTATTATTCCGTCCTCCTGGTGTCCGACGACATCACACATACATTAGCTTTATGTTTAGTTAGCCAACGCATTATCCTTCCTCAATTGGTCACATCTCTCTTCCATTAGTTTAGAAATAATCAAGTACCCGCTTGATCCATCGCCATGAGGCTGTGTCTCTGGCCGGCCCTTTCGGCGCTGTGTCTAGTCCTCGTCAATGCTTCGTCCCTGACGCCGCCCGTATTGCCGTTGATCGTACGAAATCCCTACTTGAGCATATGGCTTCCCCATGCCCGAGATGCCCCGTGGGAATACTGGCCGATATTCTGGACTGGCAGCACCGTCGGCTTTGCTGTTATAGCCTCGGTGCCTGAGACTAAGACAGTATATCCCCTGCTGGGTCGTTCGCAAGATTTCCTTAGGAAGTCTCCTAGGTTAGTGAATAGCTTCCAGTATTAACTTGCGTTGTTCTCGGTCTAATTCTTATTAGTTATAACGTCTCCTTTCCTAAATACGACGGCGCTACATTCGATGCCTCAACTACAAACCTCACCTACTCTATCCCAGGGTCCGACGTGAGGATTACTCTCTCGTTCTTGTCTCCTATCACGCCCACGTCGACATTTAGACAGTCCCTACCGGCGTCATACCTCACTTGCATTGTGGAAGGTTCGACAGATGTAAGCCTATATGTGGACATAAATGGAGAATGGGCTAGCGGCAATCGAGACAATAAGATAGAGTGGGGGCTCGTCCGGACTGAAAAGAGTGACGGTGCAAAGACTCCCATCAAGACTTGGAGTATCACACGGCATCAGGAGCAGCTCCTAACCGAGTTTTTCGATCACGCCGAATGGGGAACCATTCATATTTCAGCTCCGGCTGACGTTGAACACCAGTCTGGCGAATCGAACTACATACGACGTTATTTTGCCCAGCACGGGTCATTGAAGAATGAGGTCGACGATTCTTACCGTGGAATCTTTGAGGAGGAACCTATCTTTGCCTTCTCCAAGACTTTCGAGCTTAAGAAGAGGTCGAACGAGTCGTCCGGTATCGCCCAGGACAGCGTTATCTTTACCTTTGCCCTCACTCAGAATCCTGTCGTCCAGTTTGCCTCAGCCAGAGGCTTGACCCTGATGCGTCCCCTGTGGGATTTTTATTTCTCGGGTGCTCATGAAATGCTACAGTTTCACTATGACGATTATGAAACTGCAGCTTATCTTGCTAGCAACTACTCCGAGCAACTCGCTAAAGACGCGTATGCTTCGGGCTCACAAGACTACCAAGACATCGCGGCGTTGTCGGCTCGCCAAGTGCTAGGAGCGACACAATTTGCCGGTACACCGGATAACCCTATTATATTCCTCAAGGAGATCTCATCGAACGGAAACTTCCAGACAGTCGACGTTATCTTCCCAGCATTCCCATTTTTCTTATATACCAACCCCCAGTGGCTAGCATATCTCCTGGAGCCTCTTCTCGAACACCAGTTGAGCGGTCAGTATCCCAACGATTACAGCATGCATGATCTTGGATTCCACTTTCCCAACGCGACAGGGCATGGTGATGGTAATGACGAATATATGCCCGTCGAAGAATGCGGCGATATGCTAATAATGGGTCTTGCACTTGTCAATGCCCTCAGAGATGATTCACAAGCTCAGTTCGTCCGTACTGTACCGGAGGAAGCTTTAACACTCAACTTGGAGTCCGTGAAGAGATCGTTTCTAGTCAATGAATATGGAATGGATCGCACATGGGAAGACCTGGGTACTACGGGCGAAAAAGCGGCTGCAAGATGGGTACGACGCTCATACAAGCTATGGAAGCAATGGACAGGGTATCTTGTCCGAGAGTCGCTCATCCCCGCAAATCAACTTTGCACTGACGACTTTGCTGGTTGGCTGGCCAATCAGACGAATCTGGCGTTGAAGGGCATCATTGGCATTAAGGCCATGAGCGAGATTGCTAACGTTGTCGGTGAGAAGGCCGACTCCAAGTGGTACAGCAACGTAGCCGACGAATATATCGACAAGTGGCAGGACTTGGGACTATCTAGAGATAAGACACATGCGAAGTTAGCGTACACATGGTACGGATCGTGGACGACGATCTATAACCTCTTCGCCGATGCTCTGCTTTGCTTCCATCTGCCTGCGGATGCATCCTCTTCGCTAGGAGCGAGTAAATTCTGGGGCTCAGAACAGCAACCTATAGGGGACGAGGCTATCACTAAGCCTAAATCAACATTCATTCCAGATAAAATCTACCAGATCCAGAGTGACTGGTACCATGCTGTGCTCCAGAAATACGGCTTGCCGCTGGATAGCCGTCATCTATATACGAAGAGCGACTGGGAATTCTTTGCGGCTGCTGTGACGAGTGAGAAGGTACGCACGGAGATTCTACAACACGTTGCGACATGGGTCAATGAGACTGCAACAGGTGCGTATAATTACTATTGCTTTATTCTCGCCCAATATAGCGGTCTATTCTGAACTAACTCTTCACAGATCGACCACTGACGGACCTTTACGAGACGGAGGGCGATGGCGGATTTCCTGGGCCTAACTTCATGGCTCGCCCGGTAGTAGGAGGTCATTTTGCATTCCTCGCGTTAGAGAGAGCTTGTGGTGGCAGAGCATCGGAAGGCCTAAAGTTCCTAGACGAAGTGGCTCCCGCAGAGATTGATGTGGAACAAGCCTTAGGAAGGGAAATCGCTATAAACCAACCTGATATGGGGGAGTTGTAGTGAGTATATAAGATGAAGAGACAGGTATTAACCATCCAAGATACCTTAACGCTGGATATGTACATTGGGTAGAGGTTAGAGTAAAATTGTACGGATGTACCTATCTTGGGTAGGAATATCTCCATGAGAGCCCTCCGGAAGCGCTCGCCTTTGTACTACCACCAAAAAAAAGGAAGGAATAAAGGAAGATGCAATTCCAGATCTGCAAGTGCTTCTCGTCTATAGTTTACAATTGTAGTTCCGTATTCTCCCGCATTAACAGAGCTTTGAATTGGATAAGATGATTGGGAGGTAACCTAAAGAATTGATTGGATAATTCATGTAGGTTCAAGGTTCAGGCGGATAGTTGATACCTATTATCGTAGGCAACTACGGATCCGTACATAAGCATACATATGCCTTTAAACGGACCTTCGTACCTGCCGCACCTGCACCGTGATAGTGGAGGTACGGTAGGTACCTACCTTCATATGTACCTCGTAGGGGGTAGAGGTGCTTGCATGAGATATGTGGAGACGCGACAATGCTTAGGGAAGCCTAGGCAGGTACTAATAATAAAATACATGCGTAGAACCTACCGTAGGTACGGTACATCCGCAGCTGAACAATTTTGCCTCCCCAGTTTTTCCGCCCCTTCAACACTTCCCGTTTCTCTTTCACCCATTCCATCTTTTCTCCTTTTGTAGTAGGCCTTTCTTTTTTTTCAACCAGCCTTGCCCGAGACCTCAACTTTTCTCAGTTTGCATCATCACAGTTTGCATCATCACAAAGAAAAGGGTTGTTTGTGTTCGCGCTTGAGACTCACGGGATATCCTGCACAGCACTGCATCACGCGCCTTTCATTTAGAAAGTGAATCCACAGCCTGCATCAGTACAGAACAGGTTGCAACTGTGCTACTGTTATTTCTGATTACGACTTACGTCTACAGCCATTGAAAGTAGCAGGTGAGTCGGACTATTTTACATCTTGCTCTTTCTTTTTTAACCATCAGCCCGCACGACCATAAAAACCTCTCATTACACCACTGTCCATTTCCATCTCCATCTTCCATTCTACAACCTCACTCATCTTGACTACACTTCTTCTACCATCACCTTGACAACTGTTTTGTTTCTCTTGGTCTTGGCGCGACCATTCCCTTTCCACAACTGGCTTTCTGCACAAAACGCGTCCTCATACGCACCGCCTATTGGTTTATTGTCGCGTCGAAACACCCTTACTTACCGCATTCACAGTCACAACCTACTATCAGCCTTCACCATGGCCACTACTGCAATGGACTACGAAACCGCCAACGGTGACCGATTTGATGGTAAGTCGCAGCCTTAAATTACCGTCTCTAATGCATAAAGAGATATATCATACTAATTGTACGTCTGCTTTGTAGATGATGGTCCCCGTTACGAGCGTGATCAGCGAAGCGCGTCTCCCCGAGCCTCCCGTGATGACGGAATTGAGACGTCTCGCCGCCGCTCTGCTTCTCCAGCTGCCAACCACCAAGATCGGTAAGTCCCAACTATAATAGATAGAGATGATAATCTCGCTTCTACCCTTCAGCACGCTTCTAACTTCTGAAACTAGTGCCCCCAAAGAGGAAAATGGCAACAAGGACGAGGATGGTTCTGTTAACCCTGGATCTAACCTCTTCGTGACTGGAATCCATCCCAGGTTGACCGAAGCCGAGGTCACCCGCCTTTTCGAGAAGTATGGCGAGGTCGAGAAGTGTCAGATCATGAAAGACCCCCACACCAAGGAGTCGCGCGGTTTTGGCTTTGTGAAGATGGTTACATCTGATCAAGCCGACGCAGCTAAGGACGGATTGCAGGGAGAGGAAATTGAGGGCCGAACCCTTAGCATTGAGAAGGCTCGTCGCGCCCGCCCTCGCACTCCTACTCCTGGCAAGTACTTCGGTCCTCCCAAGCGAGGTTAGTAAACAAACTTGAGACATAATGTGTTCCTTTTCTAATTTATCTATTCCAGAGGGTCGTCCTCGCTTTGACGAGCGTCGCCGTGGAGGTGGCTATGGTGGCGGTGGTGGTGGTGGTTATGGCGGACGTGACGATCCGTACCGCTACCGAGGCTATGATCGACCTCGCTACGAGGATCGCGGTGACCGCGGCGACCGTGGTTACCGTGAGGACCGTGGATATGATCGTAGCTACCGTGATGCTCGAGGTGGCGGTGGCTATAGTGGCGGCCGAGAGGATCGCGGATACGACCGCAGCTATGATCGTAACTACGGTAGGGAAGATCGACGTGAGCGTGGTGGTGGTAGTGGTGCTGCAGCAGCTGCTGCTGGCGGTAGCAGCAGCGGCGGTGGTGGCGGTGGCGGTGAGGAAGGGTACGGACGAATTGACCGCTATGCTGGTGGTCGTGAGGAGCGAGACCGCTACGGACCCCGAGGTGGAGATGAACGACGTGGCCCTGGCTACGAACGTGAACGTTTCGACCGTCCCGATCGCGATGGCGGTGCTCGTGCTCGCGATCCTGCCGCATCCAGCTATGGCGAATCTGCAGCTCGACCCGAGGCCCGCGAAACTTACGGAGGTGCGCCTTGATCACCGAAAGAACGATAATCCGACATATTCAGCCTGCCGCTGCTAATGCGTCATTCAGGAAACGGTCGCTATACGCGTTAAGGGTATTTCCTCCGCACTCGCGTCTCCATAATGGTTCGGTGCTCGATGGTAGTATCGGGCGTCTCCTTCATCTTGTGTCATTTCTCTTCAGGCTTGCGAGTACGGCGGATACCATAAAAGATGTGACATATGGAGTTTAATACGGCAGGTAAAGGGAAGGAAAAGGCATCGACCGCCATGTTTTTTTCTCTTTTCTTTTCTTTTTTTCTTTTTCCTATGACCTCTGATCCTTAGACAGGGTTCGCCAGACACGGGTTTGAGGGTGCTGTCATTTTGATTTCGCCTGTTTGTAAGCGAATTTCCTCGGCGAGTCAATATAGGAGTCAGCCTGGCAACGACGATTTTAGGATGATGGCACAGGCAACACTTCCCCTCCCCTTTCACCCAGTCACCCGTTCCCTTGGATCACGAAAATACGTCTGCGGCGTGGACAACACAGCAATCTTTTCACCTTTTCAACCTGCTACTTGTACTATTATTTTTACTTCCGAGGTTTCTCTCTTCGAGTCTGACGAGCATGACGACTGAGCAACATCCATCAGCATTTTGCCGGGCGGATATTCGAGACAGCTCTGCAATGGTGGTCCCGCAGAATGCAACACATAATTGATCGCAAATTCCCAGAAAGGTGCACCCTTGAGTCGAATCGACTAATGTTCCGTAAATACCATGAATTTGGCCTCTCAATACTAAGTCGCTGCATTCAGCAATACAATTTTAACGCCATGCGACACGATTTTTAATGTTCCTAATAGGCTCCCAACAATTGTAAATGGGAGCCGCCTTTTCGCTTCAACGCCTTTGCATCGCCTTGCCAATAATCCATAGTCACCTTCCTTCGCAGCAAACTTTTAATCGAGTCGCTTACTTCGGCTCATGATATTGCTCCTGCGCTAGCCAGAGCGTACAAGGTAAATCCCCCCAGCTTCGGGACTATGTGCTGACGAATGTTGTGTTTTACAGTGTATTATACGTGACCATCTATTGGAATGCGTGGGCATGCCTGGATGATGTCCCCTCCACATTCTAGCCAAGCCCATAAGGATCCTTCTGTAGGTTGTGTAACCCATTAGATACCCCAGTTGGTTCTAGTTTTATGCGTTTGTGATGTGACTATTGTCTAAGCTTAGATAGAGAGTACATAGTATACTTTAGGTAGCTATATTTAATTACAGCTCCAGTAATCTATCTCATTCTCGTGCCATCATTTTTCAGAGTTAAGGAATGATAATGATTTCCACGTGGATGGTATTAGTCTCAAAGCGGGTTGATCACTGAAACCAGCAGCAATAGTACATTACATTGCGTACTTCGCTTTGTTCGAGTCTTGGCTAATACCAGAAGAGCTTAAGTTTTGAGGAGGCATGTTTCTGAGAGCAGTCTTTGTAGAAACATTACGGAAACGTCTAGAGCTAACCATGATGACAGCCGGCCGAAAGAGGAAAACTCAGAACACAAAGCTGTCTATAGACTTTAGTTGATAATGGAGATGTATTCGGGCAACTCCTCTTCTGAGGCAAGAAATCGCTCGTCCTACACTTTGTTCCGTTGACCTTTCATGTTTCGACACGACGGCTTCGTCGCTTCATTGATATCGCAATTCGAATTTCGGTCATAGTAGATGTAGACAGGCCTGTAATGGAGGTGACACCTATGAATGCGAGTAGTGGTAGGAAGAGCTCCGAGCTACGACACTTACGATATGAATTAAAACGACTCAAGACGTATTTGGCCGTCCTCGAATACGACCTTGGACTACCAGAGCAAAAGACGGAGGGTACGTATTCAATAACATTATATAATTCGGAGGATTCAAAACCCCCTTCTTTGCCTTATGCGGCCAGTCATTCTTACTAACCTGCCTAACAGACTGGGCTGGGGAAGAATGGATATCCAAACGTGGACAGAAAAGGAGGGAGAGGGCAGAACGGAGGAGAGAGCGTGGTCGTGCAGCGCAAAATGCTCGCGAACGCGTGAGAAAGAGGCAGTTGGGGCTACATGTACTGCCTTCGCCTTCGCTGTCCGATGTTCAAAAAGATGTCAACAGTAAGATCGACAGGAAAATAGCGTCCTATCGAAACCGCATCAAGCGAACCTCAGTCCAGCTACTTGTCGCCGCTACCGCCGGCCAGCAGTACCGCAAGACAGATTCAACAACCGGGCAAGACCACCCCGATGTCCGTCGCACGTCGAGTTCTTCTAACGAGATGGTCTCTAGGATGGTTAGGAACTTGATTAACAAGAAAGCCCGGGGGAAACGCCCAGCTATAGGTTATAACCCTAACGACAGCGACGATTATAGTGTCAGTGACGAAAGCGACGTTAATAATGGTAATGATAGCTACCTCGACGACAGTGATACCAACATCACTGAGTTAAGTGGTAGTGAATCCGAATTCCCAACATCCAAGTTTGCAGCGGCCTTGATGGCCGAAGTCGAAGCCGCACCAGGACCTGGAGACTGGGCAGACAAGCTCACGCAACCAGTCATCGCCAAATACGCGAAAAAGGGGCCTCCGCTAAACGATACAGAGTTGCATTTGCCGCCGCACGCAGAAGAGGAGAAGGATCCAAGACCACAAGACAAGCCCGCCACTCCAAAGCCAGAGCAGTACGATCCTAAACAGTGGAAGGAGATTGGTAGCATTTTGCATGAGAGTAAAACAGACAGTACACTCGTCCATACCGACCAGCCTCCCGAAGAAATAGGGGTCATGACTTGGGAGCAACAGGAGAAGGCCTACCCGACGCTGAAGTCAATTTTGGAGATGGGAGAGGAATACGGCCGATGGGATCCGGGCTACTTGGACACAGAGAAACCAGACCCAACCCCATGGGATCCAGATCTAAGGGAGCAAAATGAGTCCAAGCCCGGTGCAGAGCGACTCCCCTTAGAGGCAAACCTCACCACCAAGATCTCACTCGAAAGAATACGAGTTGGTTTTGAGCGGCCAGAGATGAATACTGAGTATATCCGGTACTCCCAGGTCCCGGCTATTTTGCCAGCGAGGTTAAGCGACGAAGATATGATGCGCGGCCCTCTACCGACGCCGCCGAGATTACCGTTGAAAGGGCCATCCGGTCGGGTGATAACGCTTCAGCCAACGCCAAAGGCTATTACGCCCGCACAACTCGTCCACGCGAACCCGTATTTGAAACAACCGCCACAGAATCCCGTAGATCCGGCAAACGCTCCTATCGTTCCCATCGCTCAGTACCACTACCCTGTCGACTCACCTGTCACTTCAACCTTCAAGTTCAACGATGGCAATAATACCTCGGACGTGGTAAAGCAGGCCCGGGCTACTACGCCTATCACGGTAATATATCAGAACGCGTCGGTGGCGAAACCTAAGGAACAGGTGCGGAATGTGAAGGCAGGTAGGGAGGTCCGTTTCGTGGAACAGCCTAAGGAGATGCCGGCTCAGCAACAAGTGCTAGAACCACAACATCAACAGCAACTCTTGCCAACATTAGAGCCCGCACCACGACCACCACCGTCCCAGGCTTCGACCCAACCAAACGCACCCCCCCCTCCTACCCCCCTTCCCACCATACCCACAGAATCCCAACCAGCGCCTCCCCCGCCCCCCAGCGGCAACCCGCTCAGCACCAACGACCCCTGGTGGCACTACACAAGCAGCGACGTCGACACGACTCTATACCCAGCCAAGACAGGAGGCCCAATCTTACAGCCACTCCAACTCCCTCCCCCCGCCGCCGCCAACAACAACAACAACAACACCCAAACCGATGCCGACGCCGACGCCGACGCCGACGCCGACGCCCAGCTCCAAACCCAGATCCTCTCCGAGAGCAGAGCCGCTGCCTCGGGACCGGGCTCGCTTGCCAAGCCGTTGCGGTCGGCGCTGCCGCTGAAGGGTACTGGTGGCGTTGTTAAGAATGCGCGGAAGAAGGGCCATGTGCGGTTTGGGGGGACGCAGACTTTGACTTTTGGGGGGGATAGGTGAGAAGGGGGTGGGTGGGTGAATTTGTGATGGAAAGGGGGTATTGGTGAGTTCTTGTTGCTTCTTGGTTTTTTGGTTAGTTGCGTAGGTACACCTAGAGGTAAAATCGTCTGGGCTGGGTCTATCATGTTTTTGCATTTCCGGCTGGCTTCCTGCTTTTCATCACTACCATAGATCTTTCTTGTCTGTCTGTCTGTCTGTACGTTGCAGCGCAACTCTATCTTAGCATCTTAGCACTAACTAATATTACTTAATGAGCAGTAGTAAATTGAGTAGGATTAGGACGAGCAACTTCTAATATATTGATAGCATGGGTAAGCATACGGTGGGGTGGGAAGTGGGAAGGGGAGGGTTGAGAGGAGAAATACTTGAGTTGACTTATTAGACTTGATGAAGGCTTCACCCCTAATGTTCTTAAGGGACGCTGGTCCTAGAACTATTTACTAAAAATTGGGGACGTCTACCTGGTAGCTACCTGTAGTTTACCAAACTTCTTTCGTGTAAAAGATGCGGAATATAGGTATGGAATGAGCCTATTTAATCACATGTAATATTCAGGATTGCCCTTCCTTTCACTCTTCGTAAATTATGTCCACCCCCTATTTCTCCCCTATGAACGGGAAGTGACATAACGTATCACGATGATACATATCTCGTATCTTGTGTAGACACTCAATCAAGACTTTTTGAATCGGATATCATTGTTCCCATGCTACAACAGCAGAATCACCCAAAATACCCACCTAAACTTCATTACTCCATCGTCCCATTTAACTCTTCTCGCCAGCCCTATCGACAGGTTGCGCTCCAATTAGCCACCCTACACCCGACGCCAACTTCCCGACCGCTACATCCCTCAGCTGGTCCCTCTTCCTAGCCCGCGGCTCTCCCGTGTCTTCGCGGGCCTCGTCTGACCTGGCGCTTTCGCTGAGCTGTAGGCTGGACAGGGCCGTTAAGTTGCGCTGCGCCCTGGCCATGCTAGCGCGCGACAGGTCGAACAGCGACATGGGTGCCTCCTCGACATGGCGCGAAGACGACGTCTTGGCAGCGTTTCTCACCACGCCCGCCGGTACGGTACCGCTAAAGGCGCCAGGCATAACTTCCACATCGCCCTTGTCGTCCCACGCCGATTCCTGCTCCTCTTCTGCTTTAGCCGCTGCGTTGAGCTCCTCCTCGCACTTGCGGAACACATTCAGGATCTCTTGTAGGGTCGCGGGCGGTGCGATGCGCAGCGCAGTTGCGAGACAATCCATTCTCTGTTCCAGGTGTCGGATATCGAGGTTGCCGTTGGCTGTCCCGATGTGCGTGGGCTTGATGGTACGTGCTGTCCGGCGGTACTTACCCGCCTGCAACGCGGCTTTCCATGAATAGTCATCCGTTATTGGGGCTGGACCGGATTTCGAGGTAACCGCGGAGGGACCGTTGTTGTCCGTGGCTAAACGGTTCACGACGTACGAATATGCTGTCTCGAAGTCATCTTCTGTAAGTGCGGCATCCACGCACATAGCTATGATCCGGTTTTCAATGATTGGCCGTTGCCATGCTTGTTCTGCTGCTGAGTAGGACTGTCCGGGTTTAGTATGAGCTAATAGACCAGCATCGATCATATTGGACCCGATTTCGAGAAAGTCCTGGACCCGGGTGTAGCTCTTAGGATTCTGTTCTAATACCTTCCCAATTATAGAGATGGGATCTGGATGGACCCGAAGCATAATTGGTATGAACGGCTCTCCTTTTTTCAGCGTCAAGCGGTATTCGCTGAGTGCATGCGTGGTCCTCAAGAGAGCCTCAATTCTTTGAGACTCGGGATGCGTCTCTGGTAGGGTCTGGGGAAATGCGTGTATTCTAACATCATTTAGAGGAATATTCTGCATATTGATTAGGGAATGCTTACATGTCGTCGCATTTCAAGAGACCACCACGACCACGGTGAGGATTCGATGCGCTATCATAGGCCTTCATTGCGCAAGAAACGATATTGTCTCGTAATACGTCGCTATCGAGGGGCTTCTCGGGCGCATCTTCGTATATAGACCTCGCCAGGGAGTAGCCTGATAACTTTAGCATGTGATCTTAATAAAAGTGACTGATGAGCCTTACGCGTATTGTTTAGAAACGCCTTGAGGCATTCAACCTCGAGAAACTCTCTCTTTAGCTGACTAAAGACTCCTTGGACCCGAGTATTGGGAGAACCTTGAGCTTCTTCTGCGCCCCAATCCCGAAGCCATAAAAGCTCATTTCTCGCCCTGATCCAGTACTTGTCATCGCTTTTGGGTCCATTTCCACTTAAGTTACTGATATATTTCGTAGCTGTTGCCTTCTGTTCTTGTTCGTCTTTTAGAAAAGCCAGTTCTCCTGCTTTTCGGACAGTGCAAGATGCATCGGCTTTGGTTAAGATGAAAGCACTGAGGGTTAAGATATGTAAGAGTTGTGTAGATGTCTCATTTGGTGTAGTAAGCGGGTTTGAATCAGCGAGTAGATCATTGCGCATATAAGTAGCGTTCTTAGCTAAGAGAAGTCGTTCTCCGTTAGGATCAGTATAAGGCGGGAGCAAAGACGAGGCAACTTGTAAGGTAGGGCAGGGGTCTTGATCTAGTAAGGCCATAATCTTTGTGACAATGCTGTTGACACCGGTCAATGCTTCGACTGAGGCTTCTGGTATCAGATATGCCGAAGCCAGCGCAGCACGAGCGTATCTTTGCTCTAGATGCCCCTGCTCATCATCTTCTAGCCACATAGAAGCATAGCCACCCAGGTCAACATCACCTGGGCCGTCCCATTGATCTATAGCTCTCACTGCAACTTTCCACGACTTGGAGGCTTGCGCTGTGATCCACTCAAGGACATGTTCCCACCCTGGACAGAGAGTATAGGACGCGAGCTGACCCTGTTCCGAAGAGCGCTCATTATCATCACCGCGTGCCCACCTCGCGTCATTATATAGCCACGGACCTATTAAGCCGCGAAGATCCCTCCCAACGTAGGGAAGATCTTCTTGGCTTGCGCCGGTTTGCGACAGTAGCAAGTCAACTGCGGCTTGATCGCTCATGCGCTCGAAGGCGGACAAAGTCTGGACAGCTGGATGGTGTGGGTAATATTCGTGGTTCCGTCGTAGAAGGGGAAGTAAAACCGAAACCATCCATGTCCGAATGGCGGGCGCATGATCGAGGAATGGTACTATTAGATCGGGCAACTGGGCAAGCAGACCGGCCTCTTCGTCGACCCGACGCGCACGATGGATTAAAAAGAGAGATATATAATCTTGAGATTCATCCTTGGGCGCGCCCTCCCATGCGAGAGGAAGTAATCGTAGCTTGCGGACCTTCTTCGCGGCCTCGTCGTCTGTCAAGTCCTCCACCGAAGACCAATCAACTTCCCGCGGCTCGACATCCGTTTCCAAGCTTCCCGACTCGAGGTGCTGAACGAGGGAGACATACTCGCTAGGCGGCAAGGTCTCGGGCAAACATGTTAATAGTATTCGGAGTAATAAGTCTTGTCGTAGGACCTTGCTATGCTGAGCGGCGAGCACAGTCAAGCTCTCGATGTCGGACTTGGCAGCCAGGTACGTAGCGAGGAGTACGATGCGCGGCGCAGAGGGAATTGTCATCATTTTTAAGGCGCTATATACATGGTCTCGTTTGTAGAGGAGCTGGGAACCCAACGAGGTTGGGCAATGCTTGCTATTGCCAGAGGCTTTGTTGAATGGAGGGTAAGTAAAGAGATAAAAGGTGCTATTCGAGATGTTCAAACGTGTTAGTTACCTAAGGTACCTATACCTTACCACCTCATAGGTGGGCAGCTCTACACCTAACCTACCTAGATACTTAGGTACTTTGTACATGCATGTGGCTTTCAGTTAAGTAAGTTCATGTACCTAGCCCATGTATCTCCAAGTATGACGTACTTGTCATGACATAGAAGAAGAAGAAGAAAGAAAATACATACGGTATACACAGGCATGTATGATTGGAAACTCACAAGACAGGCTGGTATATGTAAATATTATTAGGTTTAGTCTTAACAGTTAAGCCATTGTTCACTTTGAAGATCTAATCATACAAGAGGTCTCATAAAGCCTGCCAAACACTTTCACAAGGCTAATGCACAGACCACTTTAAGCTGCAACTACCCACGTCTAAACCATATAGAGTTAGTCAGGTCAAGCTTAAGAACGGCCACCTCTTAATTCGTCGGACCTAGAGCTTATCTAATTCGCCCAGGATACAGCATCATTCGTCGAAACGTCGCAAGGACCCGGAGCAATTGAACGACATAACCTAATCGATCTCAGCAACCGCAATTGAGTGCGCGTTTTCCCTCCCGCAGCCATCGAACGACGTCTACCTCTATACGAATAGCTTGACGTCATGTCGTCCGGATACGGTCTTCATGGCGGTCCGTATATTAAAGAATATCCAATGGTTCCAAAGTGCTAACGTATTTTGGTTGAATAGGTCCGGGCCGGTGCTTTCCCTTCTGGCAAGAAGTTCTAGCTTGCTACGTTGTCAACACCTCGGCGGAAGATGACTCGGGGAAGAAGAAGTGCGCGCCCGCTCTAGAGGACTACTATGAGTGCCTACATCACAAGAAGGAGGTTAGGATCCAGCTTGATTTACCTACAACCACCATGCTAGCCGGACGACTGACTAAAGTTTGTTAAATGGAATAGGCCACGAGAGTAAGAGCATTACAAGCTGCATACCGAAAGGCAGAAGCATCGTCAGCACGAGAGAATGCGCCAAGTGCTGGCCAAATAAGGAACCTGGGCCTGCTGGGCAAGGAGGAGGATACGAAACAGGTCCTTGGCGGATGATTGCGATGCTTCGAAAAAACAGGCACAGCCGTGTACGTACAAGGTCTTCGGTGTATATGAATTTAAGGATCAACGAAACCCAAACTAGACGTCCTTTATATCAGCGGGATTAGGTGCTTAGGATGACCTACAACCTTGGTACGGATATCAAATCCTAATTTTCCGAATCGGTGGATATCAGGGGCCAATATTGCTCAGATATTCCCAATTCAAAGGCGCAAATATAGAGGCATTGGTATGCGTTATAATGATACCAATTCTATATCACTAAATCACCCTTTGCGACTCATATACGCCATGAAGGTTTAATGTTGGTCAGCTCCAGCTCTAGCTCACATCTACGGGTCTGGTAAGTTTAAAGAGATCGTTTAGTGAGGCCAATCACGATTCGCATAGAAAACGATCATACATTTATTTTTCCAAGAGATGAAGCCATACAAACAGATGGAAATATATACACGTGTGCAAGCATGTCTACATCGTTGTCATAAGATAGCAGGCGCGTACATGTGTACATCTAGTCACTTTAGGTACCTGCAGCCACCACATTAGGTACATACATCATAAGGTAGGCACGCCCAAAAGATATCTACATGTAGGCAAGAGCAAGCCGTTATTGCAGCTGCCTGTGATTCACATACGCGCACTTTCCTTGCTACCTGCCGAACCGCTTTGTTAGACGCGCTTACTTTTCCTCTCTGCCATCTTCAAGCATCTCTAACTTTCCCCCCTTTTTTTATCGACTCGGTGGCATCGTACCCGCATCCTTGGACGTATACAGGCGTGTTTCGCGCTCATTCTTTTACCATCATGCCCTCCCTTCGTGGCATTGAGATATCCATCGTAGCCAGCTCGGATATCAAGAGGCTACCCGAATATCCTCATCCAGATGGATCGTCTGTTCGTCTCACAAGGGTTGGCCCTGGTTGCCACGATCTAAGAGATAAGGTCCGAAATGGCTCACACCTTTCTGCTTCCTCTGACCACCCTAATGCCGAGCCCACCCTGAAGAAATCTAACCCCCGCGTATCAGTCTACATTCCTTCAAGCCCTGGTAAGTCTTACCCTGATATTTCAAATTACTGATATATCCGATCTAAACCGACTCTCAGGTTCCCAGTTTCGGCTTAAATACCTCATTCATCAGCCAGCACCGCCTTCAAGATTTGTCTTTTTCAAGATGATTATCAATGGCCATCCTGCTGTCTCCTGGGGTATTGACACCACTTATTGTGCGGCAGGGAGCGTGTCGAGAAGCCTCTTCGAGCCCGGTGATGGTTTGAGAGACAAGAACGGCAACGTCCCTGTAGGCATAGAGACGCGATATTTCCATTTCGTGCATGGCCTCGACCAGACTTTGGCTTCCGAAGATGGTGGCTTGATCGAGGTTCAAGTCTTTCGCTGTCGGGGACGAAAGCGCATCGCCGTTGAGCTGGATCCCTATTCGCATCTTCATCAAGAACGCCGTGGAATCACGTAGGTTACTCGAACATCGTCTCCTAGATCTTAGTGCCTTTAGCTAATCATCTTCAGGTCACCTAGTGGCGGCTTAGTTAACAATCCTCAAGATGCTACCTTCTACGAATACCACCTAGAGGATGCAAGAGATTCGCCTTACGCGACCTTTTATTTCCATTACCGATCCGTGCAATATCTCGTGCAACGAAACCTTATACCGAAGTACGAAACTGGATTTCGACCGGCGTCTCTAAGTTCAAGGAACTCATCAGGCCCCGATTTTCGAGAGAATTCCGCCCATACGACCTCCTCTCCACCTGCGCATCAACTCGCTATCGGTGTAGAGTTCCTCGACGATAACGTGTTCGACGATCACACCAAGCCCGTTAGCATGGCTATTTCGGATCCGTCGGAAGTTCCTAAAGTAGAGGAATACTCCTTGAGAAGCCCCCCACAACTCGCAGGGGCTCGCCCACTTGCTACTGCCGTTGAAGATGCGGATAAGGCAAAGAGGGATGCTTTTTTAGCCAAGTTGCTACAAAGGCCATTGCCAGAGCTTCCCAAGACAAGTTCTAGACAGGCTTCCAAGAGTTCACTCCGTTCTAGCTGCCCATCTCTAACCCCGTCTCTGAAACGATACGCCAAGAGCGAAGAGTTCGAGAACGAGGAGATAAAGTTGGGTATGGCGCAGTCGGTCTTCCTACCATCCGCGTCGATTAAAGCATTGGAATTGAGAGATACGAATGCATATGAACGGGAGGATGATTCCTCTTCGGACTATGCAGCCTCACTGGACTCCACCGAAGCGTCGCATTCACCAGCACTGCCCTCCCCGACCGGCTATGTTCCAACGACTGGTAGCGTACTTGAACGGCAACTTAAGCAATTCGATTCGCCCGTCGCTCAATCGTCACCAAAATCTAAGGCCAAGCTGCCACTCTCCAAGTCGCAGGCAAACTTGCTTAGCGATGTAAGCTTCCCTGATGTTGGCAAGCTAAAGGTCACCGAAGGAGAGTGGCTTGGGCAGACCCCATCACCCCTACGACGTGAAGGTAGACCAGGAAAGTACCCATGGAGCCCACGGCCAGAGAAGCTCCCTGGGCGTTCTTCGATGATAGAACTTCCTGTCCGTCAGGGGGACGATGAGGATATCAAAGGTTCTGGCGGCAAAGGTGTTGCTCGCGATGTCCGAGCAAGTGCTACGCACGACACTAGATACATAAACGAAGCCCCTGCGGGTAACTGGATCTAGATAGACTGTTGCATATTGTCGATTGTCGAGCGTAATGTTGCTATAACTGAATCTGCGCCAGAGAGACTTAGCTCGTATAGGCACTATTAACTTCTGTAGCTTAGCTACCACCTAGGTACCTAAGGTATACGGAATCGACTGCGCCATATGCAAATTGGCATCCAAGACTACCTGCTTAGGTTACATATTAATCTGTGTGAATTGTAGTTGACGGTACGACTTAAGGAATTGTTTGCTATCTGCTACGTCTTACTAGTAATATAAACCCCGCTGGCTGCATTGGGGTTTACCGGAACCTCAACTCATATCTTACTACGCAATTATCACGTACTTTACTTTAAACCTGCAACAGCTCATAGATACCTGTAATATCTTCAATACCATCTAATTGCTTAGTCGACACCGTTAAAAGCACACTTCGCTCCGCTGGCTTGAACTACTGTGCTATTAGCTTACCAACATGGCTGAACCGAAGCCTAGCCATCTGGAAAGGACTGCGGCGGAACCGCGAGACGAGGTATATTTACTCACACTGACAATAAGAAATTTGTATACTAGATCGTCTACTAACACGTATCTACAAGTCCCTACACATCGTCACGTTGATCAAGATCGACGAGATCAACGACCAAATCAGGCTCTTCCGCCTTGAGCTGTCAACCCCTCTTCGGGTATGTCCTGCTTCTTGGCTTCCCTTACATGCTATTTGATGCAGACACCATACAACGAGTTTTATTACCTTCTCACATATATCGTTATTTTTCTACAATATAGTTCTTACCGGGTCAATGGCTCGATGTCTTCGTGCCCGGCGTGTCCAAGGCGGGCGGATATACTATCACCTCGTCCCCGTCTCTGGCGCGGCCCCATGTCTCCCCGGGACCAGCACAAACTCAAAACCCGGGGTACGTAGAGCTCGCGGTGCAGAAATCGGTTGATCCGCCTGCGGCTTGGCTGTGGCAGAACCCGGATGAGATTACCTATGCGGAATTACGGGTCCGTGTCGGAGGTAGCTTCGTGTGGCCACCGGCGGGTATCGATACGCAAGCTCTAAGACGCGTGGTCTTCGTCGCTGGTGGCGTGGGGGTTAATCCTTTGATGAGCATGCTGTCTAGTATCGCGGAGACGGGCGCGGATGCGCGGTTCCAGGTACAGTTTTTGTACTCGTTGAAAGATGATGGGTCGGGAGGTAGATGCGCGGACCGCTTGCAGTTTGTGGAGAGGCTGGCTGGGATATTTGCTTCGGGGAGGGCGAAGGGGCGGCTAAGGCTGTTTCTTACGGGTGGGAGGGGAGATGAAGGGGGAGGGGTTGTGCGTTGTACGGGAGAGGGAGATGGGGAGGGAGGAGAGAGTGATGTGCCGTTTCAAGCACGGAGGATGACGGTCGATGATATTGCGGAAGCGGTGGGTGATGCTAAGGAGAGGGAGGCTGCGGTTGTGTATGTCTGTGGTGTGCCTACTATGATAGACGAGTTTGTGCTGAAGTTGACTGATACGGAGGCTGGGTTGGGCATGGAACCTCATCGGGTGTTGTGTGAGAAGTGGTGGTAAGTATCTGATCTATATGAAGACATATTGATCAAGGAATGTTTTGTCTAAGACTTTGGGATATTGGGTGCTTGTGTATAGGGGGTTGTGATATTAACAGCTTCTTAGACCTGCAACATCTGGCTAGGGAAAGACATATCACATCTACGCTTAGCATTAGTATCCTATATATACGAATCCCATACCTGAGATATTCCACCAAATTTCCCCAACAAGTCCAATATAACTATTTGCTTGATAATACTATGAACCCAAGAGGAGAGGATGATTCCATCAATGTAACCCCATCCCTGTCCATCTCCATTGGGGAACCTCGGCACGTCCCCGCAAGCTCCTCGGTCATCACTATCGATAGGAGGTACGACTAGGTTATTGACTTACATTGTCCAATGGCACTGGCATTGAACTTCTCGTATTAATAATTATGTATAAAGACGAGACTTGCTGTTGATATAGAGGAGAGCGTTCTAATAAACCATCAGCCAACGACTATTTTCTTTCGCCATTGGACCAACTAGAATATATTCTATCACACTGTTCTTCGTAGATAACATTACATCATGGCCGACGAAACAGCTCTTACCGACTTCCCGTCGCTCTTCTCCCTCAAGGGTAAAGTCGCCGTCGTGACAGGCGGCTCTCGGGGTCTGGGTTTAAACGCAGCTTCAGCGTGAGTTCTCTACACAACACTCCCATCTAGCATCACCATCACAGCCAACCCTCACTAACCTCTACCCCCCTACACCAGTTTCCTCCAAGCCGGCTGCTCCAAAGTATTCATCACCTCGCGCAAAGCCAAAGCCTGCGACGCCGCCGTCGCCCAACTCAACGCCCTCCCCAACCTCCAACCCGGCGCCCGCGCCATCTCCGTCCCCGCCGACAGCAGCACCCTCGCCGGCGTCGAGTCCCTCGTCTCCCAAGTCTCCCAGCACACCGCGCACGTCGACATCCTGTTCGCGAACGCGGGCGCCACCTGGGGCGAGGCCTTCGACACGCACCCCGACACCGCGTTCCAGAAGGTCATGGACCTGAACGTCAAGGGCGTCTTCCTGTGCATACAGAAGTTCGCGCCGCTCCTCGAGAAGCGCGCTACCGTCGAGGACCCTAGCCGCGTTATTATCACGTCGAGCGTCGCGGGCTTGGGCGTCGGCACTACGGGGCCGCAGGCTACGTTTGGCTATAGCGCGAGCAAGGCGGCTGTTATTGCGCTGGGTCGGAATCTCGCGCTTGAGCTGGGGCCTCGCCATATCCTTGTTAATTCTATCTGCCCCGGCTGGTTCCCGACGAAGATGGCGACGGGCTTGTTGTCTATGACGGGTGGTCTTGAGAAGCACGCCGCGCGCAACCCGAACAGGCGGCTCGGCAGGCCCGAGGATATTGCTGGCGTGGTTGTTTATCTGTCGAGTCGAGCAGGATCGCATGTTAACGGCGCGACGATACAGATAGATGGTGGTGCGTTGTGGAATACGGTCTCCCTAGAAGCCGGGCCGGCGGAGCCTAAGCTATGATATGTATGTGTAGTATCGGTGGTATAGCCAGTGTAGCAGGAGTTTTTATTTATTATGATTAATGATATTCAAGCCATTAAGCCATTACATATGTTCTCATTCTTTATGTGCTTTTATCTAGGGTCCAGGTCTACAATGCTAGGTATGTCTAGACAATATCATTGCAAAAATCAAGCTCAGATGCAATGCGTCCCAGATTCTACCAATAAGCTCTAGTATGCAGTCTAGATCTCAGCCCTCACATTAGATTCGTCTTCCGGCTTTCGCGCGACCCAGTGGCTAGCTTTATATACCGTTTGCAGCATGCTCTGGGAATCCTGCACGTAAGGGGCGTGCAGGCCCGTTTCTCGCTTCTCTAGGATAAAACCCATACGTTCCACCAACGCGACGACTTCGTCATCGGTAAGCTCGAAACTTCCGGGATCCGCAATGCCTAAAGAATTATTTTCATCGTAATCACCGTCTCCATCGTATCCATGATGGCCGGGGACGTGATTCTCCCAGTGCCATAACAGAGGTCCAACATTGATAAGAACACCACCAGGTTTCAAACAATTTCTTATTACTTCGAGGTAACGAATTAGATTTGGCGCCGTGTCAAGGAAAAATACGGAAGCTACGGCATCGTAGGTATCTTTGTGGCTTTCATCTCCATACAGGCAGAGGAAATCTGCGGCACACATCTCCATCGAGCCGATTTCTCTTGTCTCCGCCAATGTCGTCTGGGGGTGAATATCTGGGATTTTGTAAGATTTAAATTGATTATCGCGACTCTTGTGGTTTGAGAAGGAGTGGATCCATGGAAATATAGTGTGTTGACCAGCGGTTTCGGTAGAGTTAAGAATATACGACGATGCTAGCAGTTGATGGTAGGAAATCTCGTTGCCTTCCGTATGGTACCCCGTCCGGCAGAGATCAAATACTAGTCGTCCCAGCCCGGCGCCAGGTACCAAAACTTTCATCGGTTGCCGGTTAGGATGTCTCGCCTTCTCATCACTTAGCGCACGGTATATAGGTCCGTAACAGGCATCACGTTCAACAGCGCCCTCGGCAGACCAGTCACGGTAAAATTGCCTAATAGTACTCCGGGCCTTATCCAGATCGTTGTATTTAGCAACACCGGACCATTCCTCAGGCATAGTGAGATCCTTCCCCGAGGCAGCTTCAAGTACGCCAAAGGACCTTAAGCCAATCTTGACGATAATGCGGGCTAGCTCCGCATTGCTCTCGATAGCATCGTCTATGCGATTTAACGTATCCAGATACGAAAAAGGCGGCTGAGCGAGCAATTGCCAGTGGGCCTGAGGGAGAGCGTAGAACGCCTGCCTACGAAGATGGGTACAGTTTAGGTGCGCCGTCTTCGCATATTGGCTATATGAGATTTGTTAGTGTATATATAAACGGGCTAGAAGCGTGTGCGGGTGAGCGACCTGTAAAGGTATGTGATGCCTACTGGAAGCAAAATCGCACCCCCTCTCGGACATAGGAGGCGCTCAACTTGACAAATAATATTCAACAACGCAACAACCTTGTATTACTAACCTAAAAGAATCGAGGGCGCAGAATATGACTCTGATTTCCTCTGGGTCGTCGATGGTTTCTTCGACCCCATTCCACTGAGAATCATCTCTGTAAGCCTGTGTCGCTAGCTCCATGATGAATAACAGCAAATTCAAGAGTTAGCAAACGACGAATAGTCTTATTATATAATCGACACTTCCAATTGGAAACTTTATGATAATTGGTGGGGGGGCCGCCGTTATGTATCGTATATGAGCGAGGGATATCCCCAGATGGAGGGGCACACGGACTATTTGAATAACTGGGCTCTCTTTAACCTTGGCATATCTTTGCTAGGAATATAGAATAGCGATTATACTAATTGCATGATGACAAATTATGTCTCTAAGTTCAAGGGTCTGTAATAATGTCGTATGAATTACAGCGTAAGACAGACAGAAATGTATAAGGTCCGTTCTTGAAGAGATGATGGTTGATGATATAAAAAGTTAAACTTCGAGATTACTTGGAAGAACTACAAACCTCTAGAGTAGGTGCATGTACCCTTAGTAAGATACCCTTAGGTAAGATACTTAGATGGACCTGAAGGAGCCCCAGTCGTTCGGAGATCTGATGTGGGGTACCGCCTTCTGTACGACAGATAGACTGGGCCATGACAAACATCTATTTGTTAAAGAATTGCCCCTAAGCCCCAGCTAAAATCTCACTTAAGCACCCCTATCGCCTGCCCTATCGCCCTATCGCCCTATCGCGGCTGTGCCTTAACCACTAACCCGCTGGCCGCTAACAACTGCCTGCCGCCCTCGACTATTCACTTCGTTAAACACCACGGTTGAATTTTGTCTGCAGTAAAATCATATCAAAATGGCAGAGATAATTGATGAGCCCATCCAGCTCTCATTCCCCCTGCCGCGGTCTTTGGATACGAGGATTCATCTGCGCTTGACCATCAAGTCAAAAGTCATCATGTTATTTCTCACAACTGTAGCTGCAGATGAGGAAGACCAATCAGTTCCAATGGGATCTTTCGTCTACGCTTTGCCTGACGTATGTAATCCTGTTATCATTAGTAAATCCACAACTTACTGAAATACCTATCCCTAGAAATATAACCCAAGCCAGCCGCTTTCAACAACTATCTTCGCTGTAGAAGCAACGCTAGAGTTTACTACTCGCCTGGCCAAAATCCTAGTCAAGAAAACACAAATGCCAGTGTATGTGGGAAATTCCATCAGCTTTGCCAATACCGGACTGGGAGGCACGGTAGAGGAGGAAATGGAAGCTCTGAAAAGAGTTGTTGATATTTCACTTGATAAACTCCAAGGCGTTGTCAAATCGCCTGGCGTCCTACCAAACGGAACGGGTAGTTCTTAAGGACGCCCCTGAGAGCAGATACATACTCTCTTGTGCAGAATCTCAACCTCTGACCACGGCATTTCGAAAACAAAATCAGGTATACGAACTGCTTGAAAGGTCATCCAGCGTCTACCAGCATATGAGCTTCTAGACACCGAAAACTCATACTAAGTAATCCGTCGAGAGGGTTGCCCGAGCATCGAGTGTCACATTGATCAACGGACTATAGACTCATATTATGCTCTCTGAGTGCGTATAGATGATGAGAATGTAGGTATGAGTTACTACGTGAGGCTGTTCTATGGGGACATACATCGAGCCCTATGAAAGTAGCAATATGATAACTTCAATCGAGCCTTGACAATTTTAATGAATCGTTTACCCGGTATCGATCCATGACGTGAGTATCTCTGCTATGATTAATTCACCTTTGCCTATCTTAAAGCTAGTGAACTCTTACACTTTTTTACGTCTTCATTTGGCTTTAACGTGACTACTATAAGGCCAAATCCAGCAGCGTTGCCTTAACTTCACTCTACTAGGCTATTTTAGACTATATAAAACAGAGTTACAAAACAAGATCGATATAATTCTAGCTGATATGTACTTCGTTGGCGTGAATATCATTTAAAAAGAGTCGAAACTTCCAAGTACCACTACGTTACTCTAACATATCCTATAGGTATTCGGATGAGAATTATACACCGTACCCCCTATCTACTCAGAGTATTTACCTGTCAAGTGTTTATTTAGCGGCTACCATCTTTCGATTACATTCAATCCAAAACAGCGCTAATCACCTTGCCTACATCGGGGCTTTAGCATATCTGTGACATATAGATTGTACGAAAGAGGCGTTACTTATACCTCGAGAAACTATTTGACAGAAGCCCTCAAGATACTTGATCACTACCCTCCCTATCACCTACTGCTCAGGACAGCGGCTGATCTGCATCGAATCGGTAGCTCGGGCGGCTATCTGCATACGTCTGAATCCTTGATCATCCCAATACACGTGCAACACAACCTGTTCAGGGCCATGGAACCCAGGGTCTAAGCAAGGTGCCGTTTATAGAGCTGGCGGATCAAATAATCTCCTGTGCAGATCCCCGAGTCACACGACGTCCGCCATCAAACTTACCTATAGCGCTTGGTCATTTTGGCTACCGCAGATATCTGGCTATCTTGTGGAACGCATTCATTCTTGGTAAAGGCCCTGTGAGGACTGCTTTTCAACCCAATGACCCCAGCCTCCTGACAAAGCCATCGTTAGGTAGAAATGGCAGGGTTGCTTATTAGGTGATGTCTCGCACAATACGTTGCTCTCATCATAGTGCTACTCGCTTCTTATCCCATCCAACAACATACTCTAAGTAAAAGGACACAGAATATCTAGGGATCTCAATCATCTATCGATGGGGTGTCGTCTCAGTATATAATAACTAAGCTTGACTGACTGTACCCTTTGCCTTAAATCCACAATGTCCGTCTTCAGTGGCAGCTTGACTCATTATTACACTCATATTGATTCTCGTTGCACAGGGGCTTGTTGTGCGTGGCATCTCAGCATATGCTATCGACCTCATACGTTAGGTATGCATACTTCGTATTCCAGTCCGACTTGGCACCTTGCAGGTTACGACAACATAGCACACTGCGTACACGAAGGCCCGGACAGATCCCGGCCTGGCCTGGGTGTTTACTTCACATGCTGCTTGCCCGGCCCTTATTTGTCGTCTCCAGGGGATATGAAGTATTATTCGAGCTCATCATGGCTTTGAGTCATGTCAAAACTTGACCGGGTTCTAATGCCCTTGTCTTATACATTCGTCCTATAGAAAACTCGTTAGTAAGCAACCGGTTCCGAGATGTTGTTTGCCCTTGGTGACTTTGGCGATTAAGGGGTAACATTAGACGAAGCTAAATATATGTATCTTGTTACGATCGTCCCTTCAATCTATTCGAAAGCAGCGTATAACGGAGTTTTAAGATTCAGAGGAGTGTGACTTTATATATACCTACATACTGGCTTGGCGTATATACCTATGTAATGTAAAAAAGTTATGCGTTACGGAGTAATATAACATTACACCTTTTTTTCTTGTCTTTTTTTTTTTTTTCAAACTTCTTACATATTCCTTATGAACCGAGTCTCAAAAAATTGTGACAATATTTATCTATTTATATTCATATAGTTTGAGGTACCTGGGGAAGTACTTATCTACATGTCGGTACATCATTCTAGTGCAATGGAATACATACATGTACGAAGTACATATATGTACATAATAAACGCTATGACAATGAGCGTCTTACACTAACAAATCTTCCTTGCCAGGCTCTTTTAGGGAGGTATAATAATCGGTTGGGGTCTCCGTATCGATAATGGTTAGGTGGGCGGTGGACCATTATTTATACATGTACCGTGACTAATATATAGGCCAAGTTTGCTAGGTAGGATAGGTACTATCTACTATAGAGCGCCTAGCACTTCTCAAAAGAGCTAAGCACGTTTTAACGTACATAGTAAAATCTGCCACACCCAGCATCACCCCACCATTAACCTTTTTCTAAAAGAGGATTTTAAGCCCTTGGATCATGGTTCAGTAACCGGAAGGTCACGGTCTCCTCGCAAAAGCCAGCAGGAAATTGACACTGGCCGCAACAGGTCATTTGCCCTGTTTTGCATCATCGCGACAATCCAGACTAAACTTTAAAGGACAACAGAGAAAAAGAAGAGAAAAAAAAAGGGGGGAAAAGACCAAAGAAGGTGTCAAAGCTTTCACCCCTCTACCTCCAGAACCTATATCTTCAATTTTCATATCTCACCTTGTTTTCCATTATCGCCAACTGGTCTATCGCCTTAGGATTAGGACCCCACCATCCCCAGAGTCCATGTTCCTGACAATCAACGCTTGATCTTCTTCCCTCCCCTCCCCCTCTCTTCCTCTCTTCTCTTTTATTACCATCGTGAGATCATAGGCATTTAAATAGTGCCTTCAATCTAGGTTTGGGATTTCGAACGCGCACACATCCCGAGATTCTCATTTCCTTGCCGCCCATCATGGCGTGGCAACCCTCGCCCGAGTCCTTGAGCACGCTCGCTGCTTGTCTCAAGGATTCTCTCAGCGGTTTCGACAAAGCTGCGCAGAAACAGGCCGAGATTGTAAGAAATCCCTCTTGTGATGCCCGACCAGGCGATAGCTATGGTTTGATCTATAAAATAGTCATAGCAATTCGAGCTAATACGAAGCTTCTCCCTTGCAGATGCTCACGCAAGCGAAGTCGTCTCCCGATATTAACAACTACCTCGTCTATCTATTCTCCAGCCAGGAACCTCCAAGTGGCCTGCAGTGCTCAGCTGAGGATTACTTTCTTATACGGTCGTCCGCCGCAATTATGTTAAAGAATAACATCAAGACGAGCACCAAAGAAGTTTCCGACAGCAGCCTGACCTTGATTAAGATGGGAATTCCTATGTGTTTGCAAGACAAGAATGCTCAAATTCGTAATTACGCAGGTGTTATCGCAACTGAGATGATTCGTCGAGGTGGTATAATGAGCTGGCCCGAGCTACTACCAGAGCTCTTGAAGATGATTGGCAACGAGTCTGGTCAAGTTACGAACGAAGCACAGGAAGGTGCTATGGCGGCTATGGCTAAGATTTGTGAAGACAACACTAAGATGTTGGAGCGCGAGCTGAACGGCGAACGGCCGCTGAACTTCATTCTTCCCAAGTTGATTCAGGCTACTAAGAGTTCGTTGCCCAAGGTTCGCGCTCATGCCTTGACCGCCATCAACGTCTTTACACCCCGAAAATCCCAGGCCATGCTCAACTCCATCGACGATTTGCTCCAGCACTTATTCGCACTCGCAACGGATTCCAACAACGATGTGCGAAGGCAAGTGTGCAGGGCATTTGCCCAGCTTGTTGAATCTCGCCCGGACAAGATCCAGCCTCATCTCCCTGGCCTTGTCGATTACATTATTACGCAACAGCAGAGTGATGATGAGGATTTAGCCACCGACGCTGCGGAGTTCTGGCTTACGGTAGGCGAACATGAGCATCTCTGGCATTCCTTAACCCCGTACATCAGCAAGATCATCCCCGTTCTTCTTCAGTGCATGGTATATAGCGCTGAGGATATTGCGCTCCTCGGCGGCGCATCTGACGACGAGGATGAGGATGATCTTGAACAGGATATTAAACCTCAATTCGCAAAGAAGCCATCGGCGCGACAGGCTAACAAAGATGGTTCTGCGGATTCCGCCCAGAATGGAAATGCTTATGAGAAATTGGCTAGCATGGACGACGACCTGGAGGAAGGAGAGATTGATGACTTTGACGATGGAGATGACGCGAGTCCAGATGAGCGATGGACCTTACGAAAGTGCTCTGCAGCTGCACTTGATGTCTTCGCTCGTGATTTTAGGGACCCGGTATTTGAGTCCATTATGCCATACCTGAATAAAAACATCAGGCATACCGATTGGCCGTATCGGGAGGCTGCGGTACTCGCGTTTGGCGCTGTCGCAGAGGGTTGTATCAATGTTGTCACGCCTCACCTCCCTCAGTTGGTACCTTACTTGATCTCTCTTCTGGATGATCCTGAGCCTGTCGTCCGACAAATTACCTGCTGGACGTTGGGTCGCTATTCTTCCTGGGCCGCGGATCTGACGGATCCGCAACAAAAGCAACTTTACTTCGAGCCCATGATGGAAGGCATCTTGACAAAAATGTTGGATAGCAATAAGAAGGTTCAAGAAGCTGGTGCGTCAGCTTTCGCTAATCTCGAGGAGAAAGCTGGTAAGCGATTGGAGCCTTACAGCCTCCCGATCATCCAGCAATTCGTCCGTTGCTTCAAGAAGTATAAAGACCGGAATATGTATATCCTCTACGACTGTGTACAGACGCTAGCCGAACACATAGGGCCTGCTTTAGCCCGACCCGATCTCGTCAACGAACTGATGCCAGCGCTCATCGAGAGGTGGACCAAGGTCTCCGACCAGTCCCGAGAGATTTTCCCGTTATTGGAGTGCCTGTCATATGTTGCCATGGCACTGAACGATGCGTTCACCCCTTATGCGCAGCCGATTTTTGTCCGCTGTGTCAACATCATTCATCAAAATCTAGAAGCATCTCTAGCGTTAGCAAATAACCCATCCCTCGATGCGCCAGACAAAGACTTCCTAGTTACGAGTTTGGATCTCCTAAGTGCTATCATCCAGGCGCTAAATCCGGCAAAATCTTCCAAGCTTGTTCAGGAGTCTCAGCCTGCGTTTTTCGAGCTCTTGACCTTCTGCATGGAAGATCCGACAGACGAAGTACGACAGTCGGCATACGCGCTCCTCGGAGACTGTGCTAAGTACGTATTCGAGCAATTGCAATCGTCACTGCCGAACATTTTCCCGGTGCTCTTGAGACAGTTGGATCTAGACAACATAATCGACGAAGAGATTGATAACGGATTCGGTGTCATCAACAATGCTTGTTGGTCCGCAGGAGAGATCGCCATTCGACACAAGTCTAATATGGCACCTTACGTACCAGAGCTTTTCCAACGCTTCGTAGAGATAGTATCTAACCCAGGTATCCCTAAAGGGGTGACCGAAAATGCCGCGATTGCGTTGGGACGGCTTGGACTCGGTAATGGCGAGCTTCTGGCACCGCATCTGGCTAACTTTGCCGAAGATTTCCTCATCTCTATGGATGAGGTTGATCCGTCGGATGAAAAGGCGACTGCATTCCGGGGCTTCACCGCTATTGTCGAGAAGAACCCCATGGCTATGGAGAAATCCCTCTTACACTTTTTCACTGCGATTGCCCGATATAGGGACCTAAAATTGCGTAGTGAGACCAAGAACGGCCTCCATGAGGATTTCCAGAAGGTGAGCAATCGCAAGTCTCTAACTGTTAAAATTAAGATCTGACAAGAATTTAGGCCCTTGGCATTTACCGTCAGATCATCCCTCAGTTCGACCAATTTTTCAGCCAGTTGCAGCCTCAAGATCAGCAGACATTAAGAACGACGTACAATTTTTGAATCAAAGCGTCGCTGATTACGGCGTGAGTAATTCGGGTTCTACAATACTTACGCAAGGTCATGAGTGGATTCACTTTTATGTCTTCCGATACTCATTACAATAGGCGATATACCAAGCCTAAGATCAGTATTGACTTCTCATCTCACATAAAACTATTGCCAGTTGAAGAAGGCGAGAACGTCAACAGCGATTGGTACCTGTGGATCTAGGATCTGCATCAAGATGTGTGTTGCGATACGAAACTCTTAGCTTATCGACCAGCGTAGCTGTTGCAAATTCGGAGGACAGGCACAACAGGTGTTACGCACAAGGCGTAAAAAACGTTAGCATTTTCTAATGGATACGGAATGGCGGTCTAGCCGTCGACGAAAGAAGCCACGCATAGGGATGAATGATGAACGGCATGGCAACGTCGACGACATAACTCACACAGATACCGCCAGGTTGGTAATTTAGGCCTGGGCTAGCTTTTATTTCTCGCACATATGCGAGGGAAAAGTTAGGTGCCAGGAAACATACTTTTGCTACGTTTACCAAAACAAATCATAGTAGATAGCACGTAGTTAGATAGATTAGCATAGCAATTTCTCCCACCCTCCTACCATACGCTCTCCCCTTTCCTCTATCCCTATCTCTACCGAGACGAGAGCGAAGATCATCATCATCATCATCATCATCTAGGCTAGGTTAGGGACTACATTAGGGACTCGAAAATTTCAAAAGAAAATCGAAGAAAGTGCGCCATAAGCTATTATTCTAGATGAGAATAGATAATGTGAATAGATAATGTGAATGACCTAACTAATGAAGATGGAATTTTGATTAGACTCCTATTAGAGCCGCTTACTTGGATTATTAGATAGATATGTAATTTAATGTAGAGAAGACAGGCCCGGATAGATATATGCATATCCGCTTTGATATCTGTTCAAGACACGCAGCACATACTAGTTAACAAGGACGTATGTAGCTCCGGACTTGACATTATTCACCTACTAATATTAATCATTTCTTATTTTAGGCATCGTTAGGGCCTAGGCGATTATACGTGTATATGTACTTGATAAATTCTAACTAGTCTTGCGAGACTTGCTAACGATAGATCTTCATATATGCGAAAAGACAAGGATGGGGGAGTATATTTAGGTCATTACAATTTGTCACGATGAACTGGTAATTCGTTAAAGTAAACAGGGTATAAAATATCGATAATCACAAGGCTAGAAGCGATATTGATTTTCCGCAGCTATTTGTAACTATTTAGGTACTTTAGCTATAAGTAATATCGTCGCGAATAACTCTTCTGGTTTCTACAGCACACAAATATTACGGAACCTGGTACACAATATGAGGTTATTGGGATATCGAATTCTCTTCTTATTAAACTGTGTTATATTCTGATATTCTGATATCGCGATAGGGCACCGTTTCCTCGCGTGCAGATACCGAGCAAAATACGATACAATCGCTTTAGCATCCAAAGGCTATGCTCGTGCCTAGGTACGATTACCAACCACCTCGACCCCGATGGTCCCAGCCCCCACGGTGTCCGTGCCCGCGGTAATCTCCTCTGCCCCCTCTTCCGTACTGCTGGAAGCCACCACGATGATACTGCTGCGGTTGTCCAGGCGGCGGTGGGGGAGGTACAGGCCATCCTCCCATCGGCATGTTAGGTATCCAATTCGGCGGCATGTTTGGCGGGATCGGAGGCGGCGGTGGCCATTGGCCCTGGTAGTTCTGTGGTGGAAGGGGTGGTGGTGGTATGAACTGGCTGAGGTCCGAGGGTAAAGGGGGAAAGGGTTGTGATGGGAAAGGAGGCGGAGGTGTAGAATGCTGCTGGTATTGGGAATTTGGATGTGGTGGCTGATTTGGAAAACCGGGTAGCGGCTTTCCGTTCGGATTGGCGAAGTGAGGAGGGTCATATGACCGCGGAGCAGGCGGCGGACTCCTTCCTTGGGATTGCGAGAGTGGACGATCGTATGGTCGGTCTCCTGAGCGAGAACGAGAACGAGAACGAGATCTAGAACTGCTGTATGATCTTCGCCGATGACGGTCTCTGCTATAGCTTCGTCTATGGCTTCGACTTCGGCTTCTACTAGAGCTTCGCGAGCTAGATACGCGCCGTCGTTTGTGCGCGGGCCGTGATGAGCTACGAGATGAACTTCGTGACCGTGAATGCGAACGTGCTGTACCGCGTCCGCGGTGGCCATTCCCAGGAACGCTAGTCTTTTTGCAGCGCTGTTTCATCTTCTCACAGAACGCGCGAGACCAGCCGTAGTAGCTATCTCCATCGATAACGTCCCCAGTCGTCTCATCAAGCACAATGCGCTGTCCCAGCTGATCGATGTCTTCGGTGTGCTGGTCAACGTCGCGCTGACCTCTACTGTAAATGCGATCCACGTCAACTAATAAGTCTTGAACGGCTTTGGCTAATTTCTCGTCCGCAGGGCCGGCAACAAACTGTAAGGGTTTGATCATGTCGGGGTTCATTGGTCTCGTAGAGTTAGGTTCGATGGCGGGTAGCCAGTTCGCTGCAGGTAAGTCATACCATGACACAGTAGCATCACCATGCATGGCTGGCATGATGAACGGGGCATCTTTGGAAGATCTTGTACCCGTGACTTGGGTGCCGTCAATAGTCGTGTCAACCTTGGTGGCCGAGTGCGGTGCTTCTTGGGCAGTAGTTCGAAGTTTCTGAATAAATGTTTCCGAAAAATACTGCTTCTCGCCCCAAAGGTCTATAAGATCCAATACTTTCTTGGAATGCTTCGGGCAGTTCGGAAAGGCAGCAGCGAGTTGAATGATGTCTGGAATAGCAGGTTCTAGCTTTTGCGCGAAGTTGGTATTCCGGTCCCGGATATGGACATGATATAGTGTATCATTGAGAACGTAGAGGATATGGAGGCGTTTACGTTTCGAAGAAGGCTCGCGGGCTTGCCTACTAGCGGCAAGATCCAAGTTGAAGGACTTAGCCACTGCCGTCAAGTATTTCCCCAAGGCGGCGATTCTAACAGGAGACTGGACTAGGTTCTTTAATATCCAATGCTTGCTTTTCTATGTGGCGACCGTTTAGCTGTCGCACAAGACACCAAGTTTCAAAAGATTGTGTTGCTCAAACCTGAACATTGGGCGGGGAGCATCGCGAGATGGTCGCGTCGAGCAGCTGAAGGAACTCGTCAATCTCGCCGCGCGAACATGATGTTGGATCCGGACGTAAGAGTACGGCAGAGAAGGATACTCTAGCTATAGCTAGCTGTGGCGACGCCATGGTTATAAAGTGATGATGAGAACAATGCCGGTAGAGCACATACTCTCGAGTTTTTGACGGTGGTTGAATGGTGGACAACTAAAGAATAATGATGGTATGATGGAATTCTAAGAAACTCAGTAGATGCAAGGCTCTTAACTTGATTGGTTACTTGAGTAGATTTCTAGTCTGACCTGCAGCACTAACTATATTAAGCTAGATTACTTTAGGTACCTATGGACGCTTGGTGCAGGTGCAGCAATGCAGCATAGCACCCCGGCTGCCCAGTAGATATCAGGATGTTAGGTTAGGTACCTAGGCGTCGGATTAACTAAATATTCCCGATATCCCACTAAGCGGTTCGAAGTTTGTTACCATATGGACATGTACCTAAGGTAGGAAATGTTCAATTTGTTGCATGGAATTTACGTAGCGATTTTGACAAGACCCTTTTTAACGTCCTCACCTAACCCTTCCAGCCCTTTTTGGCCGTGGTCAAACTCATTTGTACAGATACAATCCCAAAATTGATTAGGTAAATATGAGGGAATTCGAATAAATACGCATGGCGCATTACCAACATCCAGAGTTTCAAAATTTCAAGGCGCCGAATTACATAGCCGACTAACTAGTCCGCACCAAGATACCATCGCTGTCATGACGAAAATTTTGGGAATAGAGTTGTGTTCATCCGTCTCTTCTAAATAATATTGTGTACATGCATGTTTTCGTAATGTTCTCATTATGGGGTATGCTCAGCTCGGCTTTCAACCACGACTAGGAAAACCGATCGCCTTTTGGACTCGTAAACGGTGCGCTACTTTCGTACTTGCTCTTTTCTATTACTCGTTGTCCTTCTGTAGCCGGAGCATGCCGCGTTGGTGCTGGGTCGCGGCTTGCCTCTTGGCTTGGTGACCCGGCTGCATCAGTTCGGGCTGGCGTGCCACTTCCATTCGTAGAACCACCCATTGTCGATGCGGAGAGCGGTTTGCTGGGGACATTGCTCGAGTACTCAAGAGAGTCGATCATCTGCTTCTTTCGGCGAGCTTCCTCGAGGCGCGCGGCCCTGTCTGCATTGATGCTCTTCTTCGCAAAGTAGTACGCTCCCGCGCCGGCTATAGCACAAGGGTGAGAAGGAAGCCCACAGTGGCGCAACTTTAGTATAAATACATACCAAGGCAGAGGGAACCCCATCCCATCCTATGTAAAAGCGTAGACGATCAGTAAGAAAATTCATTAAGCAGCGCAGCCGTTGCGATTACCTACCAGAACGATTTGACCTGGAGGCAGGGTGTTAGCATAATTGCGTTGGCTGTACCTGGCCTTCTCTTATAAGATTAGGTACATACTGTATTCATTTTGAATGTTAGCTATGGGTGCTTTGGACCTAGCTTATTGGTTCTCTCAATGATGTCTGAGGGAAAAGAAAAAATAGAGGTGGGCAAGTAGATTAACGTGGGAGGCTCAAAAGAGTTAAAAGATTAAAAAACATTCAAGATCATAAAGTCAAAGTCATAAAGTCATAAAGTGGTACGTTTATTTTTATGATCTCCGGCTATCAGGTCAGGATAGACGAGTACAACCCTGCAAGCACTCCCGTCGTTTTAGCGTACCTACCTCCATTGATGCGTCGACTTTTTTTTAGCCACCGTCTAGATTTAGGCGCGGTCGCCTTCTGTAGCAAGAGCTGGGCGCTGTCGAGGTTCCAGCGTTTGGGGGCACCTGGTACCGGCAACCGGGGCTTATGACAGGGCCTATGACATGCAATAGGCCGGCACCTGCAACTTCTCCTTCAATCAACCATTATGTACCTTGTAAATGGGCAGTGCATGTGCATGCCGTTATTACAATCAGGTACTTCGTACTTGTGATACGTAAGGTTAGGATGTACCTACCTTAGCTGCTTAGGTACATCATAATATACACTACTTTATACAGGTAATGAGGTACCTAAAGAAACGAGCTAAGGAGAGTTCAATGTTTCGTACGAGAATATTACGTAGTGTAACTATGGGTACTAAGTTTGTACTATATGTACAACTGGTACACCTCCATTTTGTTCAAGTCCAGACGGGAATATTCAATGCGCCTAAAGATCTGCAATTCGGTAGCACAAGTACATAGCCACTCACTAGAGGTTTCGCATGTCTGGGACCAAACTCCAAAGGAGAACCCAAATTAAAACGCTCGTTAACCCCCAAAAGACTGCGTAACACATATTAAACCTAGACGAACTTCGAATAATAATTTTTCTTTTCGTATGACTGTATGACCGCATACACGTTACTTCTTCGGGACTGCGCCTCATTCGTTATATCTTTACGTGACAGCGTTGCAACTTTCTGCCGAAGCTCTCGACAGTAAACGCTGAAATTCAATAGACGGGATAAAGAACCTAAAGAACCAAAAAAAAAACCAAAAAAAAACATGACTACAATTAGCGGCCAAAATATCCCATTGATACTATAATATTCGGTCTGACAGCATCGTTTTTCTTATCCAACCAGAATTGTAGGCTTTAACACGACCACGTGCTCATTCATTCGTTGGCACTCTTTGGAAGAAGATCTACACCGAGCACGAACGAAGTGGCGGCCACTTAATTTCTAACCTCTTATTTCTGACCTTGACCTCTATCACTAAAGGCTTACGGTTTAAGAGCTACCGAATTGCCTTGTTGGATGATTCCGGGAGACTAGCTCTTCGGTCAGTGATGCCGTGGGAGCACAAGGGGCGGCATATTGAAGGCTTATAGAGACTGCCCCTCATCACCATGGAGTCTAACGGTCAAGATGGTCTTGACAACTCGTCCTTGGTAAGATACCCTGCCCTCCAGTCCTGATCTAATATACCTGTTACGATACTAACCAAAGCTACAGAGACCAGTCTCGTCCCTGAGGTCTCATTTTGAGAATATGAACCAGCCCAAAGATGGACCAGTAGCTACACAATCTCAGCCCCCACCTACACGAAATCAGTCGCCATCCCCAAATCTTCCCCCGATTCCAGACACAAGACCTACCCGGAGTGGGAATGTGCCAGCGGATAATGGAAAGCCCAGGCCAAAGGAAGTCCTGAATACTACAGGTCTTCATTCTGCTCAGATCGCGAACCCCTCGCCGTTAAGCCCTAGACCTATCAGGCCCCCTGCCGTCTTGGTTGAACCACCTCAGTCACCACCGAAAGCAAGACCGCTCTCTATCCTACAAAGCGATACGAATACCCACCTTTTCCCTGATCCCTCGAAGACTCAAAATACTCCAGTTACTTCTTCACCTCGACCCTTGAAGATCTCTAGCCGACCGCATACTCCCATACTCGAGCCCGGCCGATCTCCTAGGCTCGCTGCTACTCAACCGCCATCACCGCCTCCTCCGCGAAGATCGGCTGAGCTGAGAAGAGAACGTGAATCTAGGGCATCGCCGCCGATTCCTCCACCTGTTAATCGTGCTGAAAAGCCAGCCAATAGACTCTCAAGGCTGATGGAAAATGCAAACAAACTAGAATTAGCCCCTCAAATTGCAGAGAAGCGTTCGCCGTTCAATAGCCCTCCTTCTAGCGCCAGCAGCCCCGATCGTGAAGATCCGCCAGTGCTCCCGACTCGGCCAGCACGACCGCCGATTCAGACGACCGTGCCGAGGACTAGCGCATTGCCATCAGGCTTCGATCCTCCCCCAGTTCACCATACAATTGCAACCATACGTCGAGACTACGAAGTCAACGGAAATGCCAGATCACCTGTCACTTCTCAGCTTGCGGACAAGCAACCTACTCTCCCAGCTCGACCACAGACTGTTCCGGATCCAGCTTCTGCCCGAATTCCAGCAAATACAGCCGTGAGGCCACCACCTCGACCTCCGAGACCTGTTGTGACTACTGCTAGTGCTACTATAGAAAACCCCCTATCCCCCCAGCCTAAACGTGTAGTTTCAACACCAACTACTCAATTTGTGCCTCCCCCGTCACGCACTCACGGAAGATCCTTAACAGTAGATAGGAACTCAGAAAAGGCTCCTGTCGAATCCTATGATTCCACGAGAAGGCTAGGCGTAACTGATGCGGATAGCCGCTCTCCTGAATCTTCAGGCCCTACCCCCACGGGTCACGTAGAAATTGTAACTCAATTCCCAGACACTACCAGAGTGAATCGGCGGCCGCCCTTCATCAAGCAAGGCACCCATGAAATTTCTACCAAGTACGATACTAGGATATTCGATGTTTGTGGGCAGTATGTATGTACCACCGGTCACCTCACCCGAGTCTGGAGCTTGCTGGATGGCGAGCTTCTCATGAGCTTCGCCCACGGAGAGGGAATTAAAGCGACGGCCGTAGCGTTTAAACCTACATCAGATATACAAGATGAAGGGACGCGAGTCTGGATTGGCAACAATGTCGGCGAGATTATGGAAGCCGATGTCACGTCTCAGGGTATCACCGAGAGTAAGACGAACGCTCATGGACGGTACGAAATAGTCAAGATTTACAGGCACTACAACGAGATGTGGACTCTGGACGAAGGAGGAACCTTGCATGTTTGGGGGCCAGAGAGCGACGGAGTCCCGAATCTTGGCGGCAACCCCCATCAAACTTATAGGCTACCTAAAGGACATACTTTTTCGATGGTAATTGGCGAAGAATTATGGCACGCAACGGGCAAAGAAATCCGCATCTTCACTCCTACTGCCGGCGGTCGGAATCAACTGCAAGTCCTTATGAGACCTTTAATCTCAGAAGGAGCAGGCGAAGTAACATCCGGGGCTCTTCTCAAATCGCAGCCTGGGAAAGTTTTCCTCGGTCACAACGACGGCAAAGTCAGCATCTATTCTCAAAAAGATTTTACATGTCTTAGCGTGCTCAACGTCAGCTCTTACAAGATCAATTCTCTAGCTGGTGTGGGTGGTTATATGTGGGCAGCTTTTAATACCGGGAGAATATGCGTGTACGATGTTGCAGAGTCGCCTTGGGTTGTTAAAAAGGACTGGCAAGCTCATGATAACCCGGTTATAAAAATCATTGCCGATCCCTCGAGCGTCTATAAGCTCGACCGCTTCCAGGCCGTCACCCTCGGAGCCGACAATACGATAAAGTGTTGGGATGGCTTACTCCAAGACGACTTCTTAGAAAACGAGATGAAGTCCCTCGATGCACAATATTGCAAATTTGAAGACATTAGGCTTTTGGCAATGACATGGAATGCTGGGGCTTCAACCCCGAACAGCCTAAGATACTCCGAGTCGGATGCCACGTTTATGCAAAATTTGCTGCAGTCGAGCGATTCGCCCGATATTCTTATCTTTGGATTTCAGGAACTGGTTGATCTAGAGGATAAAACCGCGACGGCAAAGCGCTTTTTCAAGCCGAAGAAGAAAGATGCGTCGGACCAAGAGCGGATGAGCCATCAATATCGAGATTGGAGAGATTTTCTCGTTAGATGCCTAGACGACTATATGCCGGCCGAACATCTCTATCACCTCCTCCACACGGCGACTCTGGTGGGTCTCTTCACTTGCATATTCGTGAAATCGACTCTCCGCGATCGTATACGCAATATCAACGGTTCCGAGATAAAACGTGGAATGGGAGGCTTACACGGCAACAAAGGTGCCATTATTATACGATTTATGGTGGACGATACTTCGCTCTGCTTCATTAATTGCCATCTTGCGGCCGGACAGTCATCAGCAAACCAGCGACACAACGACATTGCCGCAATTATGGAAACCGCTCTCCTTCCTATAGAGCGCGACCCAAGTGTTCGTATCGACAGTTACATAGGTGGTGGCGACGGTACCATGGTCCTCGATCACGAGTTATGCCTACTTAACGGTGACCTTAACTACCGCATTGATACCATGTCGCGGGATACGGTCGTGATCGCTGTAAAACAAAATAACCTGGCCAAACTTCTGGAACGTGATCAGCTCCTCGTAGCCCGTCGGAGGAACCCTGCATTCAAACTTAGGGCATTCGACGAGATGCCCATCGAGTTCCCTCCCACGTATAAATATGACGTAGGAACTGATAATTACGACACTAGTGAGAAGAAGCGCTCCCCAGCATGGTGCGATCGCCTCCTTCACCGAGGTTTTGGTAGAATACAACAACTTGAATACAGACGGCACGAGGTCCGTGTGTCTGATCACCGGCCCGTGACTGGCCAGTTCAGGTTTACTGTCAAATCTATCTCACCTAAGAAGCGGACGTTGGCTTGGGCAGACTGCCAGCAACGCTTCGAGAACCTCAAGGAGAAGGAGGCGAATGCGGAGAAGTGAGTCTAATCGCATTCTCCCCTTTCCGTGTGTTCGATACAGCTGCTGACCTCAGACAGGCTTTATTATCTTACGAATGTTATCGGGTATGATTCAGATACAAGCATGAGGTTGATACGCGAAAAGACAACCAGATAATAGACCAGTCCGGGTCTACATGGAGGAATAATAAGATAGAGAAGCAGTCAGGTCCAACTTTGCTTGCGAAGTTAGAGGAATAAACGTGGAAAGCGAAGGGTTCTTCTAACACCCATGAGAGAAGATGAGGCAGGTTCAAGAAAATAGAGAGCCCGCGTAATGATTAGTTACGATATAGAACGACAAAAAGATGGCAAATTCGCCACTAAAGACGGACTGTTTTCAATGCCTGGTTAGATGGTTGGGCCTATGAAAGATGAATATTGTCGATGTTTAAGAAGCAACGATAAAAATACTGCAATAGAGAATCAAGATAAATAATGAATCCAAGAAATCCTAGGGGGAGACGACGAGGCTTCTTGATCGTCCGAATCAATACTCGGTCAATACTAAGTACATGTATAATTTTTATAGGTGGTGTCTGGGAATAAATACGTAACGGATGTCCGTCATCGGCTCGTCGTTTGATTGGTCTATCCCGATCCCTTTCCAGGGGTACTGAGAATAGATATGCATCCGCCGGTATCTGATATATCTCATTTTCCTCCTTTTTGATCCGGAACTAGATAGATAAGCCGGCACACCATAAAGGCAACAAAAGGTAAAGATACTTACCTAGGTAGATACAAGCCTACCTAACCCAAGCAGGCTTCTACGTATAAGTTAGGAAGAAAATATATCTATTACCCCTACTATCCACTTACATAGGTAATCAATACAACTCGTATTTGTCCCTTTAACTTTTAGTTCAAGTCTTATGTGGAGTCGTCGTCCGTTCCAGCGAACCTTGAAGGGTTACCGATTTTTCCCTCTTCCCGCTTTCTTTGACGTAAAAGGGTATTACGAATTCCAGGGACCGGGTTCCGATATAGCTCTCGGTGTTGTTTTTTCTTATATCTTGGCCGACGAGCTTGCGATTTATAAGAAGAACTTTAGTGAAGATCGCTAATTTAAGTGAGATAACAAACTACTACGAGTTGAGTATTAGGTATTGCCACTGCACGGCGAACGGCGTGGCTTTTCTTTGCGATAAGAATTGTTGACTTCGTTGCTTAGTTGCTGGCTGGCTGGTTGATTGATTGACGGCTTGGACGTGCGACGAGGACACGTCTTACGGCGTCTCTAAGAAGGCGGAGATATAACTTATAAGAGCAAGGAAAAAGAGGATATCTCGCCCTACCTCTCCTACCTGCTCACTTGCGACGATGGGGGGCATCACAGCTGCCGCAAGCGGCAATGCTGAAGTTACTACATATCCTGAGTCGAGAGTGCTCATCATCATCACCGGAGGCACGATATGCATGCAGCCATCGGCGAGCGGCCTCGTACCCGTCGATGGGTTTCTGGATAATGCGATGGCGCCGCGTCTGTCGTTCAACGATATGTCAGAAAGAGGTACGTTGCATTTCCAGTTGGGATAAGCATGTATCAGACACGGGAGTCAAGGCTATGACTTGGGAAGATTTAAATCTTTGACTAGGTGCTCTATACGAGATGGGCTGAAACTATGAGGTGATAGCTAACTTTACGCAGTCCCGTTAACCGCGGTTAAGGACGGGGTTAAGGTTACCATCGATAGCTTACGCACACCGCCGAGTTCATACTCGAGACATATCCGCTATGGCGCTCTCGAATTCTCACCGCTGCTGGACTCTTCCAGTATAAGCAGCATCGGTTGGACTCAGATCGCTACGACTATCAAAGCCAATTATCATCTATTCGATGGCTTTGTGGTACTCCATGGAACTGACTCTCTGTCTTATACGGCTTCGGCTTTGTCTTTTATGATGGTACGTGGATATGCCACACGTAGAGAAATCTAGTTTCAAACTTATCCCTATAGCTCGAATGAATATCTCGAGTGAAGTCATGATTTTTTTAGGCATCACTAATATTTATATTTATATATAGGAAGACCTAGGTAAACCGGTAATCTTGACCGGCTCTCAAGCCCCCATCTTTGCACTCCAGTCAGACGCTGTCGATAATTTACTCGGCTCCCTCATCATAGCCGGCACCTTCACAATCCCCGAGGTGTGCTTATTCTTCCACCACACACTGTTCCGCGGAAATCGCACGACCAAGGTTTCCGCATCCTCGTTCGATGCTTTCGCTAGTCCCAACTGCGCGCCTCTAGCCAAGGTTACCAGTCTCGGTGTCGACGTGAACTGGTCGCTCGTACGGCGGCCGACTAAGATCGCACAGTTCCGCGTCACGTCGTACGTGGACACTGCACATGTAGCTTGCGTGCGCATCTTCCCGGGTATCAAGCCTGAGATGGTGGACTCGGTGCTTCGTGTGCCGCACCTACGCGGGTTGATCCTCGAAACATTCGGGATGGGTAATGCACCCGAGGGCGTTGACGGCAGCCTGACTAAAGTCATTGCCGCAGCCGTCCAGCGCGGTATCATCATTGTCAATGTCAGCCAATGCACCAACGGCTTCGTATCGCCGCTATACGCACCTGGGTTCGCGCTCGGTCGTGCCGGCGTAGTCTTCGGCCACGATCTTACTTCCGAAGCCGCACTCACTAAGCTCTCGTACCTCCTCGCGCTACTCCCCGGACCCAGCGGTGAGGGAGGTAACGCAGCGGAGATCACAGCGCGCATGAGCCGGTCGATCCGCGGCGAACTAACCGAACTCGCCGCAATAACATCCTTCGCACACCCATCAGCCGACCTGGACACCTCGTGGACGGAGCGTCTGACCGGGCCAGAAGTAGCGTTCACGGCATTGGGATATACAATCGCGACAGGAAATCTACAGGCTACTATCGAGATCCTAGAAGCCGCAGACCGCGACGAGGGCGAGGGCCCGATGGTGCTACTGCGGCATGCAGATTATATGGGTAACACCGCCGTGCATCTCGCAGCACTGGGACCGGAACCGGCGATACTAGAGGAATTACTGGTCAGGGGGGCGAGCGTGCACGCGCGTAACCGCGCGAATAATACGCCGATGTTCCTGGCGCAGAGGGCTAAGAATGACGAGTGTATAAGGTTATTGAGGGAGGCAGGAGGGATGTTATGGGAAGAGTAAAAGGGGGTAGACGGGGTTGAGAAAGGGGGCGTGACGGCTTGATCTTAGCATGGCTTCGGTCACAGTGGTTTCATCGTACTACTAGGTTGAGTAAGACGATGCGTGTTACATAGAGACTTGGGAGTATAGTAAGGGGGATATGGTATATGGTATATTGCTTACGTGTGATAGAAGGGATAGATTGGGTCGGTTTACTACCTCATATACAAACTAGGCGCTTGATGTTGACAGTGTTCATTTAGCACCCAGGGGGTTAGCACCTTATGTGCGGCGATGAGATTATTTATAAAAGTTATCGACTTGAAAATAGTATCTCATGCCCATACGTAGGCAGGTATATAAGCTGTTCTATGTATGATTAGAGTAAGGAGATATTTATACGTTTCTGTCCCACAGTGTTACTATTGTTGACATCGATACTAATCAGCCGGCCTTGGATGAAGAGATATTTTGACAAACAAGCAAGAAAAAAAAACTTTCAATATTGCCATAAGTACAGTATGGTTCAATATCACCGAGCCATAAGGGCGAAAAAAATAAAAAAATAAAAATTAAGGGGTTGCTTATCCCAGGTAACTGGGAAGCATCAGGAATTGAGCCCGATGCGGGGGTCGAACCTATCAGAATATGTTAGCTAGATGTAGCAGATGTAGTAGATCTCACGATCAACTTACCCGCAACCTTGAGATTAAGAGTCTCACGCTCTACCGATTGAGCTAACCGGGCTACTGAGCTAAACCAGGCCGGTGGTGACCGGGCCACGGTTGGGTGACGACGGGCCTGGATTTTGATATTATAAAATTGTGTAAAGGAAGAGGGTTCAATATTGAGCTAGCCAGACCATGTAATCCCTAATCCTAGAATAATTCTAGTGGGACCATTTGTTAGAGTGGGGATGGAATAGTGCTTTTCTAACAAGACACGCCTATATACACATCGTTTTCACGTAGGTATACCTATCTTGTCTGGTAGTAGTTGAAAGGCAAAATTACGAATTACATACAACATGCCATCGTCATAGGGATGTATAGCTGATTATTCGTGAAAGACTGTAGATAAACTATTTTCTTTTATTATTGACTCGGATAGCATACTAGGTCACTCACGTCTATCGTGATCTTGACTTGATATAAGAGACAATAACTACGAAGGAAGAGGCATTTCGTATAAGAAGAAGGTATGTAGGATAATAATTAAACATAAAGACTTTACCTATTCAGACGACTTTATGATTGAGGAGTTGCTACGGTCTTGACCGTTTCCTCCTGTTGGTTATATCACATCCTAAGTTAGACCTGCTGAAACTCTGAACGAAGCCCATCCCCAATGTAAGTAAGGACCAGGTTTACATTGGTCTGCTCCAGACCAACCTGCTGATAAAATCAAAGCTGTTGAATAGTTCAATCTTGCAATGGTAGATGATCACTGCTTGAACTTGTAATATTGTATAAACTGTAAGAGGCTAACAGGTATATAATACTGTTGTACAGTTAGTTGCTCCATCAAGCAATGGGTCTTCATCCTCGTGAAGAACCCCATAGGCCGCTTGGCCCAATGGTAAGGCGTCTGACTACGATCGAGCATATAAAACATGATCGAAAGCAATCAGGAGATTCTGGGTTCGAGCCCCAGGGTGGTCAATTCCTTTTTGTTCCCTCTCTACACTATAGAGAAACTGTGTGGAGGTAGGGTTTGCTTAGGGTCTATCGTTATGGAGCCTCTAGGGTTGTTCTTATGCTATGGAAGTCTGACTTTTTTTTTTGGAGGCCCACTTAGCGAGGCCTAGAACTCGTTCATATGATGGTAACTTGACTCAAGTTACTTGAGTAATTTCCTAGAAAGAGCTGTATGGTTGCATAGTATATATACTAAAATAATTGAATCTCGACCAATCATGTTGAAGCGTCTGATAATGAAGCTTCCAAGTAAAGTCGCGTGGTCTAATGGTTATGATTTCTCGTTCACATTGATGTGTTCAAAGCTCCGAGAAGGTTCCGTGTTCGATCCACGGCGTGACTAATATTTTTGCATATAGATGATGCCTATACGGTATAGAAGCCTTTAGGACTGGAAGTTTTATTAAGGTGTACGGATTTCTATAAGTTCAATTAGATTGAGACTTTGGTACATGCGATTGTACTGCGATTTGTACGCGAAAGAAAGTACCGTTTTACCTTGGATTTCCCTGGCTACATGTAGCTTATAGCGCATTAATAACAATAATGCGACAGGGAAAGCTCTTTTTCAAGGCATATAATATTATTAAGATTAATAATATTTTCACTGTTTTAACAGTAGATAGAAGCATGGGATGTTTGATGATTTCGAGAAGAAAAAAAAGGTTGGAAACCCCCAGATTGAACCATAGCTTAGGTCATCCACATCCACTTCGGGTGAATCTCGGTATAATGCAAAATATCCGCTTGTTAAAGGCACCCGAATGCCCGAGTGCGCAATCCTCAGGCGGTTTTATTAACTCCAATCAAAGTCTTCCTAAAAGTCGGGCAATACGTATCTTTCCGTGGTAAGAGACAAAGCAGACGACGGGAGAGTAACGAGAACCCATATAGATACCAAGCAAGTAATAAAGTTATATTCCATATTACATATTCCACTTTGCCCGAGGGACCTTGTAAACTCCGGGCTATTACCTATGCCACCAATCTCGCGATACTGCCTATAGCACCACCCATAAAATGATGGCTGGACTATCAGACGGACTATCAGACGCGTCACAACTTCCGAAAATGACAAGCCCAAAAGTACGATCCTCATGCGACTCGTGTGGATCAGCTAAGATCAAATGCGATCGCAGTCGGCCTAGATGCCGCCGTTGCGTTACCCTCGGTATCGATTGTATATACGGCATCTCACGCAAACTCGGCAGAGTACCGAGAAGGGGGTTATCTGCAAGAGCCAATTCCGGAACTACAATTAGAACATCCACACAAGCGCAGAGATTATGGCCCGACACTAATCCAGAGAGTTCTATAAATATAGCTTTCGAGGAACCAAGACAAGTACATGAGACATTGCCATCCGGAAGCAACACTGACGTTCCAGTATCAAGCACTTATAACCACGACCAGCTGGTGGGATTGCATCTATTCAACCCTCTAGATATTGAGCAGTGGCCTCAGTTCGACTTCTCAGATGTTGGTACTCGAATTCACGGGGACCAAAATACCCGTGGGTCTCATAGCTGCGCCCGGGAGTCATATGAGATTTTTGCAGATCTGATCTGCCCTGCTCCGGATCTTCACGCTCCTAATACTAACTCGGATACTGTGACGGCCCGGCTGGATCAGGTCCTACACTTCAATAGGAAGGCGATAGACCGACTAAGTGGTCTTTTAGAGTGCTCTTGCGCTAAGTCTGGCCATAGAGTTATGGTTCATGCATCAATCATCTCTCGGATCTTAATATGGTATCAGCAGGCCGCTGGATGGCCTTGTAGTATCTCCTCGGAACCTTCGTCAGCCGACATGTTGCATACTACCGATGCTATATCCTCTTCGACTTCTTCATCCTCGGGACCCGACGAAGCGGCAGGCGCTCGTTCCCCTAACTTGCGAATATTGCCCCGAACCACAGGCTTCGTCGTTACTGACGTACCGGCTACGTTAGGAACATTTAGCATTGAGGACCAGAAAATGCAAGCTTCAATAAGAAACCACTTAGTTCTGAGCGAGCTAAGCAACATGTCAACCCTCATCGATCTTTTTAGTTCACATTTTTCGGACGAGTCGTCAGTTGCTGGCGCCGGTAGCCTCTATACGTATATCGCAGCGTGGCTTCGTAACGAATACGATAAGACTATTAGAGATCTGAGAGCTGAACGTATAGCTCTAAATGATATTTCAGATACCTGATTTAACGAAATGATACGTACCTAAGGTATATTTATTAAAATTTTATTCGCCTTCAAAGTGTACCTTCGTCCTTCCAAGACTATTCATTTTTACCACTTGCTTTTTACAACGACTTATCCTCTGGGTTCATGTATAATTGGCCTTACACGAACACTTATTTTATCTTATTCAAACTGAATCGTCGCCCTAAAGAGTGATGTAAGGTACTGGTCCCTCTAGAACGTCGGGTTCCAAAGGTTGAACCCTATTGGTCAATTCAAGCCCGTTAAGGAAATGCCCGAAAACGCTACGGGATAGGTACTCGAAAGCGCCGTAAATCTCCCCGCGAATCCCTTCAAGGCACTACTATCCAGTATATATATAACAATGGGCTCATTCCAACATCTAGGCCGGAATTCTAACATCAGTTCTGATGTATTTTCATTCATATCAGTATTATAGCTACAATGGTTAAAATTGTCATTGCTGGAGGCTCAGGAGGTAAGATAACCCGATATGAGAAATGGTTATGATATATTAATCTGTCTATAGAAGTCGCTCGGGAGGTCGTTGATGCACTAGCGGCTCCTAAGAAACACGACATTACTATCTTGAGCAGGAAGGTTAGTACCATAGCCAGACTACTCGGATCAAGTCGTGGAGTTTCATTCTAAGCCAAAGTATAGGAGGTGGGAGTTCAAGGCAGCAATAGGCATGGTATTACATGGCGTCGGGTCGATTACGAAAACAGAGACGAACTGGTTGCAGTCTTGCGTGGCATTGACACCGTGCTGTCCTTCATTCAGCTCCTTCAGGACCCAGGGAATAAGGCGCAGAAGAATCTGATCGATGCCGCGATCATATCTGGCGTGAAGCGCTTTGCGCCGAGCGAGTGGGGAAGGTAAGAAATTGATCCTATTTGCAGAATTGTCAAGAGTATGTGAAAATCGGTTGACAGATAGCCAGTCGTAGCGGTGTAGGGATGCCTTGGTGGACGGGCAAAGACGAGATTAAGGAGTATTTGAGAAGGGTAAACGAGAATGGAAAAGTAAGTCGATAACTAATTTCCCTAATTCACCGTAGGTCAACTCTAACCCTTCACGACACAGGTCCTAGAATACTGTCTCTTCCAGCCTGGCTTGTTCTTGAACTATCTTGCTACCCCGCATAAGACCTCTAAGCATTTGACACCACTTAATGCCTTTATCGATCTTCAGAACCGACGCGCTATTGTCGTTAAGGGGCACGATTCTATCATGACTTATACCACTGTCCAAGACTTGGCAGCAGTCGTAGCTCAAGCAGTCGACTTCGAAGGCGAATGGCCGCTAATTGGTGGTATCAGGGGTAATAGCCTTCCCGTCTCGAAAATTATCGAGATTAGCGAGCAAGTCCGAGGTAGGGTGGTCTTTACTGATTACTGACATTTACAAGTCTAGGGTTGCTAACTAAACATCATAGGGGGCCCTTTTACGGTTGATACAGTTGAATTAGAAGACCTCGAAGCCGGAAATCTAACAGCGTCGTGGAAGTTGGAGGCGCGCCATCCTAGCATTGCATACGAGGAAGCAGCAAATATGCTGAAAGGCGTGCTCGTAGGTATGCTCTTGAGTAGTGCTAAGGGTGCTTGGGACATATCAGACGAGTGGAATCAGCGACTACCGGACTACAAGTTCACCGAGATTGAACAGTTCTTGGGTGAGGTGTGGAAGGGAAAGCCGTAGTGGATTAGCGACTGCATAAATTACCTATCTATGGATTTCTAGATTGAGTCCATGTATGTACAAGAGATGAAGGATTTAATCTTCTAGACTTGGAATAGGAGGGAGGTTATTTTTAGAGATAGTTATATCGACTAATAGTCGTAGTTATTAAGGATAGTGATAGTTTAGCTTATCCTACACTTTTCACCAACCCCAATTCTAACCTATACGTTTTTACAAGATAAATCTTTATGGATCTTTAGAGGATTCATATGTACTGCTGGATGAATAAGGATAATATATACAAAAGCTCCTGTTTATATTAAAAGAGCCCTTAACTCCTTAGCCCCTTAGTTCAGGGGGAGTAAATGTCAGTGGTCCTGCCAATGTACCATCCTAGCCACCACGCCTTGTGCCTGACAGAATTAGCCTCCATATTCGCAAAGTCCTTATCATCTTCGAATGGTTCATGTTATAACGCTAACCGTTCTTTCTAGACTACAGAAAGTCCTCTTTCTGCTAGACCCTACTAACGGTTTTATGAAATCACATCGTCAGGGTGACCTTCCATTTACACAACAGCCACCTTGCCGGCACAATCTCCAGCCATGCCTTGTGACATACTAGAATCCTATCATAAAGAACTCAATATTTCTAAGAAGACCAACAAAGTGGAAACGGTATCGGTTTAGGAACTAAGGCCGGTCCTTGCGTGAAGCCCGGAGTAATGTGTTCAACGCGAATCCTTCCCCGGGACATAGAGCAACTACGTTCATCGCCGCCCCCTTTCTTCGTGTGGTACCTCTGGGTAAGTACGTAGCATTGGTAGCACCAACACTCTCTAAATTCTATAACCACGGAGATTTCCAGAGTACAGATAGCATTCTATTGTTCAACTAGTTGCAAGTATCATAAACTATAGTCTACCAAGTTTCGAGTGGGAATTCTCTTTGATTAGAAGACACTTGAACTGGGGGACTAGGTAGTGATAGTGAAGCCTAGATATTCCTCCCAAACTAAATAAATGAATCATGAGAATTAGGTAGACGGAAAGTTCCTAGTTATCCTTATTAAGTACCCAAACTATACGAAAAAGAAGTATTAATCTAGGTAGTTATTCCAAATGTGTACATTTATAATAACTCCCTCGCAACCACCAACTCTCCAAGCAGCTTCAGCATATCTACATTCCCAACCAAACTCCCCAATGTGTCACGTACAATCGAGCCTCCACACTCATCTTCCTCTCCCTGGCCATTATCCACCTCTTTGTTATCATTCAACCGCAGGCCAGGTGGTACACAATTATCCTCGGCTCTCGCAGCCCGCATCTTGCATATCTCGGCGCGTCTACACTTTTCATCACAGCTCCCTACCGCCCACCCTCGACGCCTCCGCGCGAAGTACTCCGCGAACGCCGTTTCGTTGCGCTCGAAGGCCGAGGTCACGTTGTGCCAGAACGCGGGAGTTAGCTCTTCCAGCTTCTGTCCTGCGTTCGACTCCGACTTTTCAGTTGCCCCGACTAGTGGCCCGTACGCCTCCCGTGCCGAATAGTATTTTGTCCATTTTGGCCTTGCGGGGGATGAGAAAGATGGGTCGCTCACGTTGGCGATGTAGGTGGTAGCGTCTAGTACGCCGAAGGTGATGGGGTCGACGGTGTAGACGCGGAAGGCGGGATGTCCTGATGTGGGAGTCATAGAGGGTGCGATATAGGAGGTTACTAGTGCGTTAGAGTGAGACTTGTTCGAATTGTCTGCGTATGAGAGCTCGAACTCGTCGAAATGAGTGTGGCCTGGTCTTGGGTTAGCATATATCTTGATAAGGTAAGAAAAAAGGGGGCAAATATCATACCAAAGAACATAGCAGCGATAGTCCCTTCATACCGCCGCACAATCTGATCAAAATAATTCGACCCATCGTGGAATGCATCCCGACTCCCCATAGGCATATGTCCTATGATATACACGCGCTCGCCCGCCCTCTCCGCGGCATCTAGTTCCCCTACCAACCATGCCAGCTGTCCATTCGGGTCTCTCTGCATAGGCTCCTCGTACAGCCAGTAGTTGTGCCCGTAGTACATGTTCGTGCTGAGCGAGATGACGCGTAGTTTCCCTACACCGTCTCTACTAGAAATGTGCTGCACTGAGTACGCGCCAAACTCCCTCGTCGTAGCCGCAGCCCGTGGGCCGATCCACCGGGACCAAGTCGTGGAGAGCAGGTCGTATAACCATTGCGCGGCATTGCTGTTATTGTCGGTATCATCGTCGTCATCGTTTATCGGAGTAGGCGGGAACGAGTTCGCAGGCGAAGCCTCGTGATTTCCCGCCGTGCCGTAGACGCGCAGTCCAGCGAGTGCCATGCGCCCGTAAGCATCCTCGATGCTGAACGCGTTCTGCGACTCAGACGAATCCCATACCGCGTGATCGACGATGTCGCCCGTGAAGATGGCAAAGGCAGCGTTGGGTGCGACGGCTTGGATCGCTGTGTACATGCTATCTTCTAGGCTCGGGGGTGAGTCGCATGTGTGTTCACCGTGTCGTCTGGCTGGGAAGTCGTTGAAGCCGGGTTTGTCAGCGTCGGTGTACTCCCTATAGAAGTGTAAGTGAGTGAACTTAGAAAGGGATATTATGGCGACAGTAGATATAAACCAAGATTAGGGACAACCTTACCTGCAGCAAATCGGCTTCGTGCAATTCGCATTCGCGCCCTCGACATACAGCGGATCAATATGTATATCTGAGAAATGCACCACCTGCACCGGCTCCAAGCCACTAGGCGACGGTCTACCCGTCAACCTTTTCGGCGACGGGAACGAGACGTTATGCGGCAAGACCTCGGGGTGCTGGCATAGTCCCATGAGCGCCACGCACACCAGCCGCGCCGTCCGGGAGCCGATGGCGAGGCCGCGCAAGCTGTGCGCGACGATGGGGCCCTCGAGAGCTATGGAGCCTGCGCAGACGTCTGCGTCTTGGACCTAAGGACGAGGGAGTTAGTGAGCGAGCTGAGAGTAGCTATGAAGAAAGAAATAAAGAATGGGGAGAGAGAAGGGGACTGTACGCCGGATCGCTGGCAGAGCTCTGTCATGGAGTGGATGAAGAAGTTATCGCCTGCTGCAGCTATAAGCTTAAGTTGTAAGAGGACTGCCTGTCTGCCGTGTTAGTATATCTAGGTAGATATGGTTATATTAGGTACGGTCTAGAAGAGCAAAGTCCTACCTCGCAAGCCGCACACGACGCAGGACTCTGCGCATCTTCTCTAGTGCTGGCGACTATACTACTAGGATCGAAGCCATCTTGAAGTCCTCCCGCCGTACCAGGCGTAAGTACTTTCTGAGACCCATCGCCAGAATCGAGATATGCCGTACCACCCCGGCCGACGACCGCGAATACTACGGCGACAAAGGATAGAACCCGCATCGTAACGCCCCGATCTTATTCCTGCGCGGATATCTAGTATCTACCTAGGTAGTTACCAATATTGCAATATAAACCTCTCGATTTCGTATCCGAAAACCCTTATAAATATAAACATGGCCTTGCCAGGACAATAAAGCCCTCCAAAGCACTTTAGTACCTAGGTAGTCATGCAATCCTATGTCCCGGTGACAAGCACTCGTGTAAACCGAGTCCTGACTCGCCTCGCCTTGTCAAACGCACGCCGAGCTTGCATTGTTTAGGTAGCCAGCAGCCAGCAGCCACCCCTTAGAAAGTCGATTGCGTACTTGGCCCCGTGGTGGTCCAATCGGAACGAAGCTTAGCGGGCATGCTGGCACGGGTAGCGGATCTGAAGGGATCCCCGCTGGACGGTCACCAGATCTCTGTTATGTAGGTATGTATTAGTTAGTGCTGCAGCGAATAACGTGCCGAACAAAAACAAAAAGGTTAAGGCTGGGTCAGATTGCATACATGCACCTATGACATAATTGACAAGTCCTGCATACATTGTACCTAACCATTATGTAGTGTATGTACCTTGGTATGCAGGGTCTCTCACTAGAAGGTACATACCTACCTTTAGAAAGTTTGGCTGTGACACCTTCTAACATGATAAAGGTAACTAAGGTTAAGTTTTTTTTGGGATAACCTAATGCAAGAGCTAACTATTATTGCTGCAGCTTTGTGTCAACTGCTCATCCACAAAAAGGAGAATATGTATCGCATCCCACATTTACCAGCCACTTGTGTAAGCCAGTCTGTTAATTTCAGACGGGCAACTTTTGGTTGATCTAAACTATCAAAGACATCTCGGTACTATGTAACACTAGCATCAGGAGAATGTCTCAATATTCCCAACCACAACAGATACATACACTTCCCTTTTTGCTCCTTTTCATAACCCATTAGACCAGCCGCCTGTGCTGTAATTCCAGGTAGCCGGAAGCTGATATTTGCTCACTTTTATTCCTCTTCTCGATGCGCTTTCCTTAACTCGTATGCTCTCTCTATCTGTCATGAGAGAGAAAAAAGAAAACCGCCAAACACCGGTTGAAATGATGCAACGATGGAGGGGCGAGATGATTTTGAAATCGAAAACTGCTGATGATGAAGACCCGAGATGCTGCCCATGCAAACCGCTCTGTCCGATACGCCGTATTTTTTTGCGTGAGGAAACCATCATGTCGTCTCGTCGTGATTCCGTATTATGCCTGCCAATATCCTACACAGCACCACTCTTTTCCCTTTTCATTCAATTATACTTCTCCTAATCCTTAGAGAGGAGAGGCTTTAAAACCTCGAGAGCCCTCATAGCCTGTTTGCTTGATAGAATAACGGCGCCGGCTTGCGCAGTAGAAAGATATGAGAGCTCGCTGCTGACGCCGGTTTCTTCCATCCCCATCTCTGTTATAAGCTTTCCAGCAACCCCCGAAACGATGCCCGTGGCCTCCAGAGGGAGGTTAACAAGATCGAGAAAGATAGGGACTAGATCGCCTTCGGTATCGCCGACTATGGAGTCTCCAAAAACGCCCAGATGTTCTCTATCAAGTAGTAAAGACGGAGGATCTTCCTGAGCTAAAGTAATTGATAGGAATCTAGGTTGCTTGGCTAGAACCGATATCAGACTCGTATATAATTTCGTATCGACGTTATCGAGCCAACTCCTTCGGTGCCCGTTCCCGCTCAAACGCCTACTCAAAGCGGGACGGCGGCTATAATCGACTAACCGAGACAGATCCCTGCCGGAACATTGTACCAAGCTGAGGTAAGGGCTGATATACGGGACGACGTTTCGCTTTTTCAATAACTCAAACGTGCGTACTTGTAATTCTGCCACGGTAGATGGCGGCGGGGTGGATGGCGGATCGCTACCTTGACTCCTTCCGCGAACGTGAGACATTGCGCTGGGCGATACATAGGCCGACTCGTCCTGATCAAACTCAAAGTTTCGTGCCAGAAGTACCTGCACGACCGTTTGCCGATCTTTGCAAGGAACCAGGATAAAGTCTGAATAGTAAGTAGTAATGAAAAAGATAGGCACGCCCGCTAGCGCAAGGGGTGAGGTCAAGTCCATCACTCGACTTCCAGCATCCATGCCGGCACTTATTACCGAGAGAATTAGATAAGTATCCTTCGAAATCGTAACCGTCTTGGAGATATTTGGCGGTAGACGCTTAATCACCGGCTCGAAAACATTCTTGGCCCAACTACTATGACACACAACCGAACATTCAACGGGCGTAATGCTTATGTTAAGGAATCCATGCTTATTATCGATGCTGAGACCTTCGGCCTCGTTGCTGAGAGAATCATCATCACCTTGAGGAAGAAGAACCTGCAATATTGGTTGAAGGAAGTTCGGGTACAGGTGTAAGGGGATATGTATTAGGCGAAATGTCCCGTCCTAGAGTTGCACAAGTTAGCATACTCACGAGACATCGGCGACTCATTTGTCGCATGCATCGTAGGATATACCAGAATATGGGCTGTCACCGTTGCTTGGCTTGTGTTACACATGGGAATTGTTGGTAACTTGACCCTTGCGACGATGGCATGTAATAGTGATTATCATCTACCGGCGCATTGCGGCGAGAAACCCGATCTTATAATAAATCTAAGATAAGAACTAAGGGGAGAGCTTACGAGAAATGATATCTGAGCATTCATAATGACGATGTCGTATTGGTGACGCCGTAGATGGCAACCAATGGCCAGAGCTTTTGACCCCGAAGATCGGGGGTCAGAGGACCCCTAAAATGCACGGATAGAGTCGAGCCTATCACGGAGATCCGGCTCGAATTGTGTTGTGATTGGTGGGATTGACACTCTTGGACTTGAATTTCGAGTTCTCGGCTAGGTCCCAACAAAAGATCCCCACGATAATAATAATAATAATAATAATAATAATAATAGATAGAGAACATCAAATGTCATAGGTAAAGAGGAGGGGGAATAAAAGCCGAAAGAAACAATGCCAACAAGATAGACTTCGACCCTAGGTAGGAGCCAAGATAAAGAAAGAAAATAATTGGCCGGTTTCGAGAGATAGGAACAGCGATAGGGCTGTCAATCGGAGGCACTATGGAGACTAGTAGACCTCGTAAGGGGACTAGCTCTACATAGGTTGTCCGTTTGGTTGATATAATAAAAAGAAGGCCTCGTAGTGCCTCGTAGTGCCTCTTGATGGCTTCTTTAACGCTTCGAGTTCGTCGGGTAACTTGGATAGCGTGACATGACACCACTACTTGATAGTGGGATTCCACAAGGATCGACGCCCGTCGCGGTCTCCAGGACCGGGACTGATAGGAAGTGCGGTTCGGTGCCGCTGTGGATACTCGTTTTATCGCCCGCGGATGCAAGTTGACGCAGCTACAAACAGTGGACAGGAGCGGATCTCTATAGGTAAGGGGGTCGAAACGAAATCTTCAACGACTAGGAACATCGAGGAGGAGGCGTTGTTTATTATATCACAACAGACCGAGTTCGACCGGTAAGGTGAATGGCGAGGGGCGCCGAACCTTATGTATTTTCAGGGTGGTATAATCTACTTAGCACATAATACTTACATACCTAGCTTTCGTGAACCTGGCTCGAGGTTCCTGGACACAAACTAATAACATATGCGCGTATGCACGCCGTCTGCCTCAAAAAGGCAAGCCGCTAAAATGAAAAGCGTGCAGAAGGGGGCCGAGCAACATATGCAGCCACTCTTCGACATATCATCTACGTACGGCGCCATCCTACATCAGCTACTAGAGCGCGTGGTCGACGTCCGGGAGGAGCTAAGTGGATTTGGGAGATTCTTGCAGGACGACTCTATATAACGGGTGCAACTTTGCAACGCTGTCTAGCGTGGGGGGATCGCTTGGAGCTTTAGGCTTGGGTCTTGGATTACCGGGAGATGTACCCTACTAGGATTACCTGCAAGGAGTTTTTACTCTTCTGCATGATGATGTCTCCCGAGAGGGGCGACCTGCGCTTCTCATTCACTCGCTATACCTAGGTAAGTCCTGAGGGAGCGAAGCAATATACTACTGCAGACACGTTAGATGAGGCCCTTGTATTGTACCACAGCAGGTATTATCGACCTGGTATGTAGAAGACGATGTGCTATGCAGGTGAGTGCATTATCTGGAGTGCAACTCTAGGAAGTAGGAAGGAGAATAGATAGTGAGTCGTAGGATATATGTAATAACCTAGCTGTACGGACTTTGGCGAAAGGACTGTCCATCGGTACCTGGAGTCGGGGAGATTTACTCGCCAATGCATGTTGTTGATGCAGCTGTCCGGCCTATGAGCGAGAGGCTGGGGATAAGGTACCTAACCCTTGAGGACCTAACCCTTGAGGACCTTTGCTGCCCCGCATTTTCCTATCTCGAGCTGCCCGCCGAAGAAGTCTCGTCAACCCTGTCACCAATTATTGTACCCACTGCTGCACGTAACATGGTAACGCCATTTGTCTAAGGTTGGCGTAACGAATCGGCGGGTGCAGGTATAATATCGATATAGCTTGTCTCACTGGCTTACTTTAATCACGGATAACTTGCGTGATATGATGTCGAATATTCGACTGAAGATGCCGTTTTTTTCAAAAGCCCCTCTCTTTGACCGCAATACTGAATAAGACCGAACAAATACCTAGTTCAATTAGCACGTTTCCTCTTCCCGCCTCAGAATTGGGCTAGCTCGATCCGATTCTAGGGTTCTCGATCAGAGCCGAGTGTAACCTCGTCTTAAGCACAATCTCGACCCATCATATTCGTCCGTGACAACCCCACGAAATATCCTTCCTCCCACTATATCCACTCGCGTTCCTACCGCCATCGTGCCATACATAATCAATCGTAAAATACCGTGCTTATGATGGCACCAGTCACTCGTCAGAGCCATGATCGAATTGTTTTTGGGTCACGGGTATTCCCCGCGAGTTTGTGATAGGTAAGGCGAATAGGAACTAGCTAGGTGGCCTGATAGGATCTAAGATAGATGAATTTAGACGTAACTGTCGTCATGAATGATGAAACTAGACTGTATTGAACCTCGTACGGCCCATAGCTCGGACGCCACCGACTAGCTTAGCTAGAGAATTTCCCGTATCGAGCAGCCATCAAGCTCCTCGACGGGAAACTGCCATCTCTAACCGACGGTGATGGAGAGCTTAGAGATGGAGCACTCGGTAGAATTAATTGCGTTGAGAGTAGTCTGCAGGCACGCGTGGGGAGTGCGTAGCATTAGGCCGTCATCGAAAGACAAGGGTTTCCAAATAGTAAGCTTGTGTTTGGCTCGCTATTCAGAACTTAATCGTCGAGCTATCCGGACCTCTCACGGTGAGAAGTCCGATTGAGATTCCTCAGCACGATGCGCTCATCCGAGCTGCCTTGCATCGAGACAAACTTCCTTTATCTGGGACTGGCTTGACCGATCGATGCAATCTGTAGATAGGCAACTTTACCGCGGCCCACCGACGCAGGTTCATGCATGACATAGTTTTAATTTCTGTCCAATTATCGTTCCGGTTTGCATAGTTACCGCGAAAGGCGACCTCCAAGCTGCCTAGAAAATAGGCCTAGTGGGGCTGACAATAGACAACTGGTCCGGTTGACGCGGGATCTGCAAGAGCCCGGATCGTGACGACAGTTAAGTGCAATCTGATTGTATCTGATTGTTACTATTTGTGTTGCCGCGGCTCGGTGAAGACCGAAGTCAAGAACCTAGTTGACATGAGTTTGGGCCTTTGACACCAACTACAACCAGGTTCCGAGGGCTTTCGCGGTAGTCAAATACGGTTTCTACCCAGCAGTCTTGTACTAAGTCGGAATGTTGCCGTAGAAATAGCCATCTGTCGGTCACTATTAAGGACTCGGTGACATTAGCGCTGAATGCCATCAGACTCCAGACGGCACTGAGTTCTCGCTTGCGCGGCCCGTATGATACTTCATATCTCGCGATCTCTTCATCCGTGATGTCAATCATCTTCTCCTTAATTATGTTACAGTACTCGTGATACTCATAATTAGTAGTCAGCTTACTGATCGCTCCTCTTACGTATGCCCCGAAGGTCTTGTAGCACGACTTCCGGAGAGAACCGATGATGACTGGGTTGGTGCTTGTGTTAAACGGACTCTGATCACTATCCACAATGTCATCGTTATGGCAAATCTTAGTGATAACACCCTTGTCGAGAAAGATCTTCTGTAGGACAGCGCGGTAGAAGTGTCTAGTGAAAAAAGCGTCGCTCTCAGCTTCAGTCCAGTTCTGTGGCGCCTGACAAGCCATCATACGCGCCGTGATATTGAGGCGGACTCCTACATCTTTGTAATTGCAAAGTCGATCGCTCATTGGGAACCCTTCAGGATCACGTCTCTCGGATTCTCTGACCACACGACCGTTGAGGGCTTGAAGACTTGGTCTCATATACGAGAGCTTGTACGTGGGCGGGCCTAGCTTCTCCGTCATAAGATTGTAACAGCAGCCAACAATGGCAATGGCTTGGACTCGCGAATTGAGTATTAGAGAGCGTATGCCGTGATGAGATAGGTTTCCACAAGAATGAATGGAAATTGCCATTAAGTTAGGATCGCCTTGTCCTTTCTCGCCGGCAAGAGGTTCCTGTTCAAGTTGGTTGACGACGTCTGTCAAATCTCCCGACTCGAGTCTCCCTTCGACGTAACGTATGAAGCCTTTACCCTCCTCGAGCGTATAGATGGCCTCCAACTCACTTGGAGGCCTGAAATCAGGCACATAGTCGGCCGATAATTTTACAGGGTTAGCGGCCCTTTTTAAAGCCCTTTCGTCAAGCTGATTCTCGGGAACCATACTATCGAGCTTCTGCATCCAAAGTTTCTTGTTTCGTATGACCTTCTGCTTTTCAGAAACACCTGCATGCATATCAAGCCTTTTAGCACCAATGATGTTGTGCTCCCTACCCTCCACAGCTACAATTTGTTTGTTATAAGGAGGGGTTGCTAATGCCCTTCCTAGATAATTCTGACCGCTGCCGAAATCAACAAAATGAGTGATCTCCTTACGGTATTCAGCAGCAATTCCCTTCGCAAGCGTGTCCACATAATTTGCGAAGTGGCTCACTTCGTGGATTTTCTTCGGCTTCATTCCCGCCGACACCATGCGTGTCAACTTCGGGAGCTTCTCCTCCTTTGGGGAGAACTCGCGCGCCAATGACAACCGCCTTATATCTTTGATATACTTAATCAAGCTCTCTGGTGGTTGAGGGTCTAGAACACCGTCCAGGTCGTCCCTCATTAAGAAGTCTAGGAACTTCATAGGCTCACATTGTAGGATATATGATTGCCAATCCGACGGTATTACCGTCTGAAAGAGCCCCGGTTCGTTAGTGAAGAAGTCCAAAATGTGTACGCCTCCACATAAAATTTGGAAGAAGTCAGATGCAGTCGCAAACTCTAAGAGTTGTTCGACATAGTCTTCGGTGCTTCCCCAGCAATCTGGGTACGGCAAGGGCTTAGTGGGCCTCATGCTTATATATCTGTGGTATTCATAAACGAAAGTGCACGTATAACAAGAAAGTGAAGAACTAAATGATATGAAACCTGGATAACGTGAGTTTTTGAATTGTTAATGATTTATAATATTTTTTTATATTTGGCAAAAGTTTAGGTTATGTTAGGAATTTCCGATGGTTGCACTAACAGTTGTCTGACACCGCCTGACACCTGCCAAACCTTCCTATCAATTTAAAAAGACAATACCACGTCATCTGGTCCTAGCTGCGTCGTCCGTGGCTCCCCTTATACTAAACTAACAAAATCCAACAATATACATACCTTTTGAGCTTCAAATGTCGAATTTCTTATAACACAAGACCCTCCGCCACAGATGTAGATGTAGCCAATAGATGCAGCGCCATATAATAGAGCCCCCAGGATGATGTCCTCAACAAATGAGGAGGACCCGTTCCTCCAAGTCCAACAGTGCGTAAGCTCCCATTCCCATTCCCTCCTTTTCGAGCGAGTATAGGTACATAGCTGACGCGATTTTCTATGTAGGGATGTCCTCTCGCAAATGCAGACGGTTCGCCCGCTCTTCGCCTCATACCTGCGCATACGTAGCCTGACGAACAGTTCGACTTCGCCCGAGCTCGCATCCGCGCGATCCGACCTCGAACAGGCTCTTGCGACGTTGGCCGAGGATCTTGCGGACCTGGTTGAGTCTGTACAAGCGGCTGAGTCGGATCCGGAGCGATATGGACTGTCTGCTCACGAGGTGATGAGGCGCAAGCGGCTGGTGCAGGAAGTTGGGGGCGAGGTAGAGGATATGCGCGAGGAGCTAAGCAAAACCGCGGCAACAGCATCGGGCCCCAAGACGCCATCTGCCGCAGCGCGCGCAGCTAGGGCAGCAGCCAATGGGGATCTACCACCGCCGAGCGCGTTTGCGATCGATGAGGGAGGAGAGGGGGGTGAGGATAACTATGCCGAGTTCGAGCACCGTCAACAGTTACAGATGATGCGCGATCAGGACGAGCAGCTGGACGGTGTTTTTGTTACAGTAGGGAATCTAAGAAGACAGGCCGATGACATGGGCCGGGAGCTTGAGGAGCAGGTTGAGATGCTCGAGACAGTGGATACCCTGGCGGACCGCGTCGGCAGCCGTCTGCAGACGGGCATGCAGAAGCTGGGGTACGTCATGCGGAAAAACGAGGATCGGTATAGTAGCTGTTGTATCGCGGTCCTCATTATGGTTTTGATTATACTACTGGTACTACTGTTAGTGTTATAGGCGTTTGGCACGGGCACGGGCACAGGCGAGGTTCACTATAATTTCGTTTGAGAACCAGTTGTTCAATGTTAGTAATAGAGCGAATATCCTGACCACCTTCGCTGGGTATATTCGAAGACTCTGGAAGAGGCAGTATCTATACGAGCTGTTTCTAGACGCCTTCTTATGCTAATTGAGGTTGCTAACTCCTTGAACGCCGTAGAAGAAAAAAACTGATTTGCCGCCTTCTATACCGACACCGAGCCCTTTTGAGTACTGTACAGGCAGCTTATAATTCCAAGCCTATATCCCGCTTCAAAATCTGTGCCAGAACCTGCAATCCCGAAACGCCAGGTGACTTTTCTACGGCTTTTCCGGGGAATTCCACCAACGCTTTCCTCAATGCGGCTATCGCTGCGTTTCCGTAGAAGTGAATGAACTTCTCCTCGCTGGCTTCGATCATAGCTCTAAGAACAACGCATTGTGTGTTCGTGATTTCGGCTGGTGGAGTGTTCACTATCCGCGCAATGCTAGCCCAGTACTTCGACGGGGGCCATGGGTTGGTGTTCTTCGAACTCGAGAAGTTCCTCAGCGCAATGGCAGCGTATCCTGCTCCCAAGCCCTTCATTCGGTCACTATGCTGCTGCTCGGGTGCCCATCCAGTCTCTGTCTTCTTCCAACCTAGGCGAAGACGACCGTTTTCTGTCTTCTCGCTACCGCGATATCCAAAGAGAACGGGGCAGACAACGCGTAGTTTCGCCATTAGAATATCGATCAAAGTTTTCCCCCTCCACAGGTAGAGGTCCTTGGAGAAAATCATGGCAACAATAACGCCGATAGGATCAGCAGTTTTGGGCTGCGCTCCACATTCATTGATGAACTGGTTGATAACAGCTTTGGAGAAGTGATTTAGAAGGTAGAGAAATAGAGACGGAAGCCGTGGCTCGTTGTGTAATGCACCTTCGACTGGTTCTCTTCTGTCCGTGATATAATCGGACGGGTCGACCAGCTCGCTTGGTACAGTTCCCCTGAGCGATTCATCCAGCAGTGCTTGAATAGCCGCGATCTAGTTTCCAATTAGTTTAAACCTCATCAAAGAACAAAGAGGAACAAACCTGTTTCTTATTACCGCCCTTTTCGCCTACCAATTGACCCATATTCTTTCTTAGTTCTCGCCGCATATCTCCCATCCGCTTCTTCAAGGGCGGAGATAACTTGGATTGCTGTAACAAAGATGCCCGTAGCTTTTTGAGGTTCTTATGAATTTCGACATACCGATCTACATCGATAGCGACAGGGGGTTTTGCAGGAGCTGCAGCTGACAAACCATTGGGTTGTAAAAACGGCTGTGTAAATGGTGATGGGCCGCTCAATGTTTGATTTTGGGGTATAGTTTTGGGTTGACCAAACGGCTGTGATGGATTTGGCTGCACTGTGCCATTGGCATGTCCGCTCAACCCGTTGGTCGAGGCAGGCTGTTGAACACCGAATAAGGGTGGCTTTGAGCTGGATAATGCTCCTGAATTCGCTATTATTGGGGTAGCTTTGATTTGGGCCGGTGCAGCAGCGGATCCATTTGTGTGGGCAACAGGTGTTGGCGGTTCTGGTGGCAGCTGAGGGACCGTTTTGGCCTTCAAAGCTCTTAGGCGCTCCTCTTCGGCCCTCAGCCGTTCCTCAGCTCGGATTCGCTCTTCCTCTAGCTTTTGTTGTTCCAGTATCCTTTTTTGTTGCTCTAACAGCCTTTTTTGTTCCTCTTGCAACTCGTGATCGTGGTAAACTCTGATAGCAGCCTCGCGAACGCGATCGTGCTCGGCTTGAGCTCGTGCGAGAGCATCCTGATGGCTGATCGCCGTGTTACGACTTTCACTGAGGATACACGATATACTGGACATGCGAGGACGGTCAGGAGAGGACCATTGCTGTGATGTACGGGCAGCGGGAGAAGAACCAGCCATTGCATTTACCGAGCCGTACTACAGCATTGCGGATTTTGCGAAGGTGACCGTAGCGCGACAGAAGTTGAAGTACTGTGTTAAAGATTAGTAGGCCGATTAGAAAACGATGGTGAACAGGTGGGATTAAGTACCAAAGAAGTCAAAGTATGAGGCGTCAGCTTCAATTGTATAGGGATATGTAAAAGAGCGACCACGTATTTACGTTGCTTGATTGTGAAGAATAAGAACGAGGTCAAGGACCGTAGGGATCAATGATATGAACGGTGTACTATGTATTATGAAGACCAATTCGAGCTATCGATAGGAAGGTTAGGAAAAGACTAAGGTACGCGCTGATCTGCTTACTTAATAAGGTTACTCAGGTAGGTACAATGGAAGGAACTGAATGCGGGCGTGGCTGACCTAATGTAATTAGGGTGGCCATGCAGTTTCTGTGTACATAGGTACATTTAGCTAAGATACAGGTAACCTAGACACCTTAGGTAAGCCCCGTAGGAGGTCGCTTTCAAGTCAAGCTTCCTATCAACTCGTTAACTATCCAAAGAAACTACCTAATCTAAAGAGTAAGCAATATATGACTTCTTAGAAAGCGCATCGAATACTCCTCTAATAGGGAAACATTTCTTCGATACTATTACCAAGGTATATATTCGAAGTAGGTACATATCAGAAAAACCTAAGGTCGAAAGGGCTCACGTGGCATATTTGCTATTTTTCTTTTTAGCACCATGTGTTCCAGCCATTTTTTACGCCAACGAGAATAAGTTGCGAGCACATCTATATGTATGATGGTGACGATGATGATGATGAAGGAACGAGATCCACTATCGGATTTCTTTTGGTATTGTCAAACATTATATCGGTTTGCAACGCTGTTTGCCGTTGGAGTGTTTCGATTTTCTCTTAGTTCAAGCTGTATCATGTAGTGTAAGATGCTGTTGTTAGAGGAGAATGAGGGAACTAAGGACCTCTTGTGGAGTTCTAATATCATCCCTTCGTCAGACTTGTGCTGGTGCAAGTTCGAAGTTGATTTAGTATACTAATAGGTCGAGATAAGTGGCCCTTATAAGTGGGCAAGTGGGCTACTAACGTAGTACGGCCTGGGTATTATCTGGACGACAATATGCATCCAATTTATTAGGGTTCACTTGAGATCAGGGTTTCCCTGCTTATGTAGAGTCTCTTCAAGCACTTCGACCCTCAACAAGATAAAATATATGTACACTGACATCTCAGCTCATCGTTAAACTTACCTACCTACATATCAATAAATATGCGGGCGCATATTATACCCTACATGTATATACCTGACAGGTAGGTTAGGTAGGTACCTATGTAGTTTACCTATTGTGCGAAGCTTCCCGAGACCCCTCTATGAACCCTAGCTCTTTTTGCCCCCCAGGATTACTATAGGTGCTGTATAGGTATTTGTATATTTACTCCGAGTGTCAACCCATCCGAGACCAAAAGAGCACATCATGTACTTAATGACGATGATCTACTAATCCCATGGTAATTCTTTACCCAATTTGTAGTTAAAGGAAGGCTCTAAGCCAAGATACTGCCGCTTCCAATGCTACTACAGTATCTTTACTTGCATTGTAATTCGTATCGAGTAATCCTGCCTTCTCTTCTCATTTCATCCCACTTATCCTCTTGCCAGATAACCTCTCAGCATGTACCGCCAAAGTTCCCAATTGAAGGTAACTTCAAGTTACATGTAGGTACGCGTCCTTTGCATCCTTTCATGAAGTCACATGCGCTCTGAGCTTAGGGACATTTTAAGATCAAGTACAGTACTTAATTGCATACACCGTGTTCCCATATGCATACTCGTGCTTTATATTCTCATGCATTTCTATTGAGGTATTGATGTTTCCAATAGCTTTCACCTAGTATGCAAATCAAGTACACGCAAAGAGTCTTCAAACAACGGAAAGGTGGCCAAGTATCAAAAGCGCAAAGCAAGGACAAGTGTACCTAAGTTATCTATTCTGATCTAAGCTTGGGCTGGGGCCACCTAGACTGGTTTGTATGTACCTAGGTAGCTAGGTACATGTAGATATGTACCTACATAGACACCTGGAGGTTGTGCCAATGTAGGGCAACCTAGCACACTGGTTCTGTCCATAGTACAAACTCTAGACTTACAGCAGGGGCAAGCCTACCTCATTGCCTCGTTAGTATCAGTACATTCGTACCCTCTTACCACATTATGAAACCTTTAACCAATCAGAGGTTCCCCAACCCAGCTAAAAGCCTGGCCTGCCAAGACCTACTGCCCCATTTTGCCCGTCTTCGCTTTAGTCCTGACCTCACATCCTCTTCCCCGTATCCCAGGTGGCCATTGGAGAGTGATCTTCCCAAAAAACTCCAAAAGCTTCCCAACTTCCATCTCCAACACCATCTCTCGTCTTGTCTCTCTCCCTTATCTTTGCACCGCTTCATTTACCCTCTCTCAACACATCTTCACATTCCTTCTCTACGGGATTCCGCCGCACACAGCATCACTGCAGCCTTGTTCAATCCTCTCATTTACCCTCCTTTTGTTAGTCGCAAAAGTCCACGCAATCACCACTAGAGAACGTAACCGCTATCAAGTTTTGTCAACTGCCAAGCAGCTTAAGCTCTAAACAGTACTGGCCCTCGCCTCAATCATCATCTAAACACCTCAGCTAGCTTAGCAGCATTGTTCGCACTCGACGTGCAACTTCGCACTTCTTAGGTAGCCCGACATGGAGCAGCAACAGCCCGCTCCCCAGGCCGGGGGTGTCCCCGGACCTACTGGCCGTCGCCTTCATATCGCCCATCGCAGGAGCCCTTCTGAGCTTACCCCTCTGATGAGCATGTTCACAACTCCTGGGAGTAAGTTCGCACCCCTCACCTTCAGAAGTCCATTGCTTCCGTTCCGTTCCGTGTTCCATTCCTTGTACCATAGCTTGCTCTGTTGTTCTTGATACTTCTTGATACTAACTACGTTACTTTGTTTCTAGTGGAGCAACTTGCTATTCAGCAGCAGATCGAGTTGTTGCAGCAGCAGCAACAACAGATACAAGCCACACAGCAACAATACATAAATATGGGAATGATGCCACCGGGCCAGCTGGGTCACGGTGGTTCTTTCAACCCTTTGCAGCCACCTATGGCTAATATGTCGCCACAGACGGCTTTCCAATTTCCCAACCAGCTTCCACAGCAGCAGAATGTTCCCATGGGACCACCAAGTCAACCCATGTCGCACCGTCGTAACCAATCGGCCCTCCCCAACATGGGAATCGGACCCCCTCCGGCTCCTTCTGCCGGAGCTTCTGGATCCACTTTTGGGCAATTTGATAACTCGTCTGGTCAGCAGAATCGGGAGAACGCACCTCGTGGAGGGCGAGGTGGCGGCTCCGGTCACCAGCGAAGGCATTCTTTAGCCCTAGCTGATGCCAAAAAGGCAGCTGAGATTGCTCAGCAGAAACGAACGACCTCTGGCTTTCAATTTCCAGCTGCGGGACCCACTGAAGGTTCCCCTGCCGAAGAAACCAGGTCCGTCACAGCGGATACCCCCATAGCACAAGGTTCATCTACTCGCGGCGGACGCGGCGGGCACGGACGAAGCCAAAGCATGGCTGTCAATAGCCGGGGAGGTGGTCGGGGTGGGGGTGCTCTGCACGTTCCTAACGACACCGGTGATTTTGGCCGCCGTGGTAGTGCCTCAAGCGGCCATGCACGAACCTCTTCGCGCAATTTCGAAGGCAATTGGCGTAACCAGCAAGGTCAAAACCAAGGTCAGGATCAGGCTGGTCAGGGCCAGCAGGGGTTTCAGCCTGGTCATCGTCCCCGTGGTTCTGTGAGCCAGCAATCTATTTCCAACATCGGGGCTTTCCAATATCCTGGCCAGCCTCAACTTATGCAAATGCCGGGTCAGATGCAAATGATGCAGATGTACCCTGGTCAGCAGCTCAATCCTATGCAGATTAACCAGCTCCAAGCCCTTCAAGCTGCGCAGATGAATGGTCAGCAATTTGTTGGTCTTCAGGGAAGCCAACATGCACCACAGCTGGGTGGTCAACAATCCCAACAACAGCAGCAACAGAGGAAGACCCTCTTCACCCCATATCTCCCTCAAGCTACTTTGCCGGCGTTGCTTGGTGATGGACAACTCGTTTCCGGTATTCTCCGAGTAAACAAGAAGAATCGCAGTGACGCTTATGTCTCTACTTCGGACGGTCTTTTAGATGCGGATATCTTTATCTGTGGCAGCAAAGATCGCAATCGAGCTCTAGAAGGCGATCTTGTCGCAGTTGAACTCCTTGACGTGGACGAGGTATGGTCACAGAAACGAGAAAAGGAGGAGAAGAAGAAGAGAAAGGATATTACCGACACAAGGTCTGGCTCGACAAACGGTAACGCTCAGTCTAATTCTGCCAACGCGGAAGAGGCTGCCAACGGCGAAGGAGGGATCCGCCGACGTGGCAGTCTTCGGCAGAGGCCTACACAGAAAAAGAACGATGACGTAGAAGTGGAGGGGCAAAGTCTTCTTCTCGTCGAGGAAGAGGAAATTAACGACGAATCGAAACCCCTTTATGCTGGACACATTGTAGCTGTTATCGAGCGTGTTGCTGGTCAAATGTTTTCAGGCACGCTTGGCCTGCTGCGTCCCAGCAGCCAAGCGACCAAGGAGAAGCAAGAGGCTGAACGAGCCGCCAGAGACGGCGGTCGATCGCACGACAATCGCCAGCAAGACAAACCTAAGATTGTCTGGTTTAAGCCTACCGATAAGCGTGTCCCTCTAATTGCTATCCCTACCGAACAAGCGCCACGAGACTTTGTAGAGAAGCACCAGGAATACGCCGATCGCATATTTGTTGCTTGTATTAAACGCTGGCCTATTACTTCTCTACATCCCTTCGGTACGCTCGTTGAGCAGCTTGGAAAGATGGGTGATCTCAAAGTGGAGACTGATGCTCTCCTGCGCGACAACAACTTCTCGTCCGATGAATTCTCAGAAGCTG